CATTTAAGATTCTATTCACAATCATCACCGTTTTATCAAACAAAAATAACACATCCTGGTACTTTTTTCTAAGTTTGCAGGTTGTTCAGATAAAGTAACATCACGGTGAAATGGTGATCAAAAGATGTGTTTTGATCTCATATTTTTGTTGCCTTACTTGTTGTTTCAAGATTAGACCACTTGAAATGTGAGTCTCCAAGTGTCCCACACAAAGATATTATCGGTGCTCAAGCTCTTTGTGATATCATTGTTTTAAAAAAAGAGAAATGCTGGGTTTGTGAAAATATATTTTGTAAAGTGTCATCGCTGGGTGCGATGTTCGGATGCTATCGACTAGCAACTTGATTTTCATCTCTGCATCGTGCATCACTGTGACAAGCGTTGGAAGTTGGCTTGGTTAATCATTATCTCCTCTGGAACTGCGGGGCCTGTCCGCCTTTACCTCTCCAGGGATGTGGAGGAGTGAGGCACAGTTACATAAGGGTAAAAGAATATATAGCTGATACATCCATCTATGGTTATGGGAACAACGTGTGATATTCTGCACTCAGTTATTCATCTCAGGACTCCCACACGTACACGATGGATATGTACATTCAGAGAATTGAATGTCTAAGTTCTTTTTAGTAAAGTGGAACAACATAAAATAGGACTAAGCCACACAAATTAAAACTATTTTTCAAAGAAAGTAAATACTAAAGAGAATGTGCTTAATATACTTATTTTCCATAGACTTGACTTTCCTCTGCTAAAGACTTCCTGTGCTGTTCTCATCTCTCTGTTGCCAAAACAACACATGCACACTGGGCCATTCATCATGATCTGTATTTGTCTTGCTGTTGGGGGAAGTGTTCAGTCAAGTCTCACAATGAGATGGAAGACCACTCAAGCTTTTCAATTAGGCTTCACAAGCGGTTGTCCTTCAACTTACACACAATGTTTTGAATAAAACTGGGTGATTTCTGGCCTAACTAAACTAAAATACATATTAACCCCGTAATGTCTTACTGAAAAAACAAAGGTTTTACTCTTAATCAAAATGTAAAATAATGATGATACAAAATAATGTTGAAGATAATCATCATCATAGTCATCATAATGGTCAACTTTCATGTATATTTTAAATATTTGTAATGTGGTATGTTTGTTTCTGTCATTTATAGTAAATGTACTATTCCATACAACATATTTTAACAAGGTTTTGACCATGGAGTGATGCAATAAGTCTCAGAACTATATCAACCAAATATCATGGCTCATGGCAGACTGATGAACGCATTTAGTCTCAACAGTCTGTAAGTGCGAGGGTCATTTTGTTGGGCCTCCACTGACCCCCACACCACCCAAGAAAAATATTAATTCACCATTGTTTCTGAACATTCAGACAACAGTGCTTCTACCAGATTCGGGCTCTATTCCTTCGTCCATAATCTATTCCTGCTCCATCTAATTCAGTGTTGTGGGTTTGCTACAGCCACTGGACGTGTTTAAGGATACACCCCGGAAAGGTTGCCATTGCATCACTGAAATGATGGGAGAAAGCTGGAGTAGAACCAGAGTAAACCCACACTTACATGGAGAGAACATGAAAACCCCACACACAAAGGACGCAGCTGGAATTCAGCTGGAATTCCGCAGTGCTAACCACCACACCACCTCATAGATTGGGTTTGTATTTTTCTGAAAGTACCTTTTCATCATGACAAAGCAATTACAATTTGAAATGCGGCTGAGACTATAACCCTGCACCATATTGTCTGTATGCATTGTGTGGAGCGTGTCCTATGTACGTACTGACCTTGCAGTGTGAATAGCAAAATGCGATAGCAGCCCGCCATAAATCACTGTCACAGCGCAGACTGCCTCAGCCACATCCAGGTAATCTATTTGTTCGCCTAAAGCACGACGTCATTTGTTCCAGGTTTCCTGCCGGAGCAGCAATAGAGCAGCCATTGGGGCAGCATCCAGACCCGTGTAACACGGCACACTATGAAAGAAACCACTGTCACAGGGAAGAAAAGGTCCTGATAGAAAATATTATATAAATTAATATAAAGTATTTCAAAGACCTTTGGTTCAATCTTTACAAGTTTCCAAAACAAATCAATTAAAAGGCTCGAACGGATTTTTAGTCAAAACTATCATTTATTATTTGAGGGATAATCGTCTATATATGTGAATGGAAGGGGATGACAAAAGCCTGAACATACTCTTAATAAAGTTGCCCTTTTTGGTGGCTGCATGTATCCATTTTGCTCCAAACAAATCTTTGCTTATTTCAGTCAAATATTTTCTATGTTAATACTATTTGTCTTCTGAGTTTGTCTTGAACTTACACAGATGTTCATTTGCAAATTTTTTATTTTGTCCTTCCTATGTGTTCCATGCTCCAGATCCTTTTACAAGAAGATGAAAATATTTCTAAACGTGTTTTGTTTTTAAAAAATCTAATAAATAGAGTTTATCAGTTCAGTTTAGTTGCTATTTTGGACCACAACGTGACAATTCCTGTTATCTGCCATTTATCAACTTCATTATAAACTCAGGAAACATGTGATATTGCTTTGCTATCTTATTCTAATCCTTCTGCTCTGCTGTCCCAGACAGCTGCTTTGATAAGTCAGTAGCTGCTAAATGTCAGGACATGGTTTTGAAATGAGTTTATTCTGGAATTTCTTTTGGAAATCTTCTTACCTTTTATATCTTAGATCATATCTAATTGAGTTTCACAGCATTTTTGAGTGCAACTTTGAAAGTGAATGCATTATAAAGCTTCACAACACTGACATAACACCACTATCATCAAAAACCAACGTGACAAGATCATAACTTTTTTCACCGCAGGAAGTTTCGCTGAGAGCATTTAGTCTCACAGATTTATGTAACATTATGTAACTGCATGATCTAGCTTTGCTTCAGGATGGATCAGCGACCGTTCATCCATCCATTTGCCATGCCGCTTATAGTTAGAGCAAATTCCAGCTGAAATGGGGCAAGAGGCTGGGTACACCCTGGACTGGTCGTCAGAATCAACAAACATTTAAATTAATTTCAAACCTTTTGGTCTTGTTTTGTCATTTGGTTTGGCCATGATTGCTAAAAGATTATTGAGCCAAACAAAGAGCACTGTGTGCATGTCTGGAACAGAAACCTCAGCCGGGAGAGTTCACATTGAGATCATGAGAACGAATGCTTCTGTCTTCTTAATGGGTCTTTATGTTATTCAGGGTCAGCAGTGTATTAGAGGAAAATTTCCTTATGTAACAGCCCTCTAACCCAACAGAAACACTCAGCTACAGCTTAATGGATTAGAAAAGATTGAGGAAAATGGAGGAGAGAAAGTTTTAAAGAAAGAAAGTTTAACATTGTATTGGTTTTCTGGGTCAACTCAGAATTAAACTGCATACTTGCAGTTTTGAGTTACTGTTTAAATCCAAAATGCGGAAAAGCTTAGCATTTAGCTGTAATCAAAAGTCCAGGTTGTGCACCAACGGACTTTACAGAGATGTAAAAGATACCACATCCTATGCATCCATCCTCAGGGGTCCCATTTCTGGACGTGTTTTGGAAACAACAAATCAATCATTGTCAATTAGAGCTATGTTCAAAGTAAACCACATCCTGGGAGTGAGACGGTCATTCTGCACTCAACAGCAGGAAACACAATTACGCTGCGAGACCCCCCGAAACGGCTTCAGGTTTGAGAGGATGAAATGGCGCATACAAAAGGCTCTCACTGTGTTTTATCTTCACCGCACTCAGGTGTCCTCCTGAGCAGGCTTCCACTGAGCGTGAGAGAGGGGAGCTGCCCTGGCAGCACTCTATGTGATATCTTTCATATTTGGAGCCTGTCCCTGTCAGATACCACAGTCTGGGATGCCAGCCTGCATAAGCACACTGATTTTCAAAGCCTCTTTTCTGCCTCTTTCTCCTGTTCAAACGCTCATGTAGGAATCGATTTCTGAGCCGACAGTCTTTCCAGTTCCTTCCTCCTCCTTCTGCTGCAGAAGACGAGAACGTCAGCACCAGAGTCTGAATTAGACCGAGAGGTGGGCGCATTATCACATTTGACTTGCAGTGTGAATAACACAGGCAGGTCGCAGCTCCTTTCTCTAACATTGCCATCTTGATTCTATATTTGATTCTTCATTTGCATGCAAGCAAGACAAAGGCTTACATCATTGTGTTCCTCATGGAAATCAACATTCAGACAAAGAAAAAAGGGAAAAAAAGAAAAGGTTCGCAGCTACTGGATTGCACCCTGCTATTGACATGCACTGTTTAATTTTTTATTGTATATTTTTTCATAATGTAAGAGGATCAAACATTTGGCTAGACGTGGATGCTTATTTTTCTTATCGAAAATATTCCAACTAAGCTCTGCCATATATTCACATACCAATGACATGATGTGAAGGGGTGTTTTGTATTGTTACTATGTGTTTAATATGGCCAAAGGCAACTCAAGGGGATTCACAGTATTTGGGAAAATAAAGACACTGCGAGACTGTGAGCATGAGAACAAATGCTTTTTGTGCTTGTTTAATCGTCTTCATCTGTCTTCCTTTCCTTTTTACATTTTTTGCCAATTTTTGGGATTAATGCCACTGAATTTCATCCATGCTTGCATCACTCTGTATGACAACATGCCTTAATGAAAGTCCTATTTTGGCTCGCTGCTTGCTGCTTTTGTGTTGTGTGGTGTTATTTTTCGTGCGCCGCCAGTCGTGACAACTTTCTGTGGCAAAGTAGATTTGAAAAAAGCTCACTGCTGTCGCAAGTTCTCCAGGCAGAAGCCCACTCAGGATGCATGACTCATTCATAGCTCATTATCATCCCACTCTCATTTCATCCTATCCGGGCTCCCCCACTTGCTTATCTGATGGCTGTGTGGGGGCGGGGTAGAGACCACTACAAAGCTGCCGTAGCCATGCTGTGATTGGCTGGTGGGATCCATTTAATCTGCTGCCTTTACTATAGGGTCCTCCTCCCCCTCTCTCCGCCCGCCCCGACAGCATCCACTCACAACAGTGTTCTGTCCCTGTTCCAGGGAGAATATCAGCTCTGCACAGGGAGGAGAGGATTAGCCCAACCACTCATCTCATCTGCATTTACGTTCCCAGAGAACCACATGAGCACCCAAGGCTGCACCTCTTTTGAATAAAACCTGGCAGTCCTCTCACAGAGGCTCCACTTGATCTTCTGTCATCACTGTGAAAGGATTCAGGGACCATTTTTTTTCTATTTTCTAAAATATCTTCAGTCTCTCTCAGCTTATATAAATGTGCGATTTGTCATCAGTGACACCTTTTTTAAAAGGGACCATGCGAGTAATACCTTTTGACATGTACTTGCCCTGAACATCAAGGAGTTAAGCCTTCATTTTCCAGGACTTTTGCATTTTGGTTTGCTTCTTCGACTTGTTTGGGAGACTACAGCATCAGAATGCCATCTAGAGAGTCCTACGACATTCAAAAGAAAGAGAAGCCGCTGGTTCAAAAGGCCAAGCGAGAGACCAATCAGGAGGATATTTTGGCTGCAGCCCTGGGGATGAGAATGGGGCCACAGAAACCTTCGGCCACTTTCTGGCAACCACTTAAACTATTAGCATATTCACAGCTCACCTCACTGGTTCGCAGAGCCTCTCTGAAGGAGACAGACCGGACGCCCAAATCAGAGAAAGCACATAACTTCAAGGTGAGACTTAATCAACTTAAGAATCACTTGTCAGCTAATGCATGCCTCGAAACTGTGGTTTACTCTCATCATGTGTGGCCAGAGTGCTTCTTCTCTTGTTCCACTTGAAGGAGATGGAAGGGGAGGGGAGGGGGCATCACTGAAGGGGAGAAGGGATGAAAAACAGCTTTCATTTTGGCTTCTGTTTGTCCAGTGAGTCTTTATCAAAAGAAAATCTGTTGGTCAGACTGGGGACCACTGGTGTTAGTTAGAGCACCAGATTGGGAGATTACATTGGCGGAGAGGGGAAACACTTGAGGAGTGTTTCCTCATTTGGCGCCTGCTTTGGCTGCCCACTGTGATGAAGAGTAGCCTGAAAAACACCACTGTCCGTCTTTTCAAAGTGTTGATGTTGACTGCTATCTTTCTCTGTTCTGTTGTTTGGTTGAATGTTAATTTCAACCCGTAAGAGGGTTCCTGAAGCCAAGGCTGCATTTTATGTTAGTGAAATATCATAATATCAAAGCAATGAATGTATCTTGATGAATTATTAAGAATTGAAAACATTTAAAGCACTATAAAGTTCTGCCACCATAAGAAGTATTTGAGCTTGCTGTATTAAAATTACATTTATTTTCCATTCACAAATGACAGTTTTTACCAATAGTAATCCAAGGAAGATGAAAAAATTGTAACTAGGTGACATCTCTTGGGATGACAGTAACAATCAACACCTGCATACCTTTAACACACACACATAATCCTCCTTCAGCTTCTGTGAACACAAGAAAGCTCGGAGAGTGGTGGTTTGCTCTCCTCTGTCAGAGGACGCCCTGATTGGTTGAACTGTTGTCACCCACTGGAGTGTGGGAGCGCTCCCTTCCTCTGTTTCCTCACAAAACATTCAACGACATCATCTTTTCTGTGCATAAGTCTCACATAATGTTGAGCCTATGAATTCAAAACCCCTTATTCCCCCTTCTCCAGTTTGTCCTCTGACAGGCTAAAGAAGGGGATGGGAGGATTAACTATTCTTTCCCGCTCTTCTCAGTACGCTCCATCACTAATGCCTTTCACTGTCCTCCTCCCTGTTCCAGGTCCACACTTTTCGGGGGCCTCACTGGTGCGAACACTGTGCCCGATTTATGTGGGGACTGATGGCCCAAGGGGTCAAATGTGCAGGTATGTTGTGTAGTCAGCATTAACACAACTTCACATACACTGAGCTGCGGCATTTCTTTGTTGTATGGTTGTGTACAAAGTGAGCATTAATGTATGTGGGTTACTTGGCTTGCTGTGCATCTGGAGCTGGATTAGTGAAATTTAATCTAAAATCTCAACAGTAGTATGAGGATTAGGGGTTATACAACGGAATGAAATGGGGGGGTCTGTATAGCTGTGATGTAATGGATATGTTACATGTTGTTAAAAACATTGTATTTGACCCATTTTTTTTGGGAGTGTGGGATGCAAATCTTCAGAGGGATACATTTCTAAGGGCTGTTATTCTGCTTCTACTCAGGGTATCTTGCCATTACCACAGCACTGACAAAAGACTCCTGTGTTTCCACTCTGATGATTTAATGGATGAACATTTGTATCATTCTGGGCCTGAACAACTAATGCAGGCTGACTGCAGCTGAAGCATTTTAAATCTAATTTCGTTTTCATGGGAGCATAATGTTGTTATCCGCTCCCCAGTGTGAGCATGTTGTACAATTGTTCACACACAATGCAAAATGACTTAATATGTTTTCTTCTCATATGTGTGAAAAACATAACCTTCATTATACACGGTAACACAACTATGAGGAAATTCATTTTCCCTCTGTTTCTAGGAAGGATTTCTTTCTCATGCCATCGAAATTCTTTAACACGGGCTGATGTGTGCCTTTGATGTTTTATTGATGCAACAAAGTGTGTCACACAAATCTGAGGGAGCTTTTGCTTTAATTATTAATTGGCATGGTGTTGGAAACCAACAGCAAACCAGAAAAAGGCACATACACTGGAAGCCAATCTTCATCAACTACTGTGTATACATACCACCATTCCTTCAGTCTCCACCCCAGCCAGCAGAAACTGGGGCGGCAAAGTCTCACATGATGCTCGCATTTGCATAGCAAAAAAAGAAATGTTCTCCCCCCCCCCCTTTTCTCTTTTTGTATGTGTGAACTGGTTTTGGCCGAGTGCCAGAGAGCCAGCCTCTGCTTGTGCTTGTTGTGGCACATTTCCTCACCAGAGTGCACCCCCACCCAGCCTCATCCCATCATGCCCATGAAGGAAAACAAAGCTGGCATGTCTCTTTAATGAGGAGCAGGGTTGGGAGTGTAGGGAACGAGCTCTGTTTCCACACACATTAAAATTCAGCCAGCTTCAGCCAAAGAGCTGGGTCACACAGCTCAACTCCTATTTAACTTAAACGACTGATGGGGAAGAAAGTTTTTCCTCTCAATTTACTTCAGAATCACATCACTTTCAGCCCAAATATTTGCAGATGATGTGCTGATTAAAAGGTTATCAGCCACCATTTAGAATTCTCTCAAAACTGAGCGGCAGCCCATCGCAGCAATAGAGACAGAGCTGGTGATGCGATAAGTCTCCCGTGTTCCAGCACCCCATGTCCCTCGGGGTCACCAACCCCACCTGGGACCCAGGGCCATGAATGTGCTCACACTGACAAGAAGAGCTCTGCGGGATCGTGTCTGACGACAGGCCTTAAACCATTATTCTGGCTGTCTCATGTCCTTAAGAGAATCATCTCTTAAGGTAATTACATTTCTGCATCAGTGCATATGAATTCAGGCTGTGTGACTTCCCCAGAGACCCGTATTAATCAAAATATAGTCAGATGTCCTTCAGATACATTGATTCTCAGCTTTCAAAGAAGCTTTTATTATATTAGTATCTGAAATTAAAAAACGCTTCAATTTTTCTAAGGCGTTAAATTATCATTTTTTTTACGGTTTTAGTTTCAAAAGCCTCGTGTAATCTGTCAAACAAAAGCCTTTTTTAGAACTTGGAGACAGCTCATAAGATCTTGGAGCTTGATGTGCTGTTCCATTTTTGTCTGAGAAACTAGGTCTTCTGTGGCCCGCAGCGTCTCATTCGCTGCTTCCACAGCCATTGTGAGCCAGCTCAGCATTAGAACAGAATAAAGAGCGCAGCGGCACGGTGTCCCTCCTCCAGGCACCAGTGTTTTACTCCTCCTCTAATTCCCCACACGCATCCCAGTTTCAAAGCAGACGTGGAGTCTCCCTCCGTGGATGCCTCTATTCCCGACTAGGTGAACCTTCTCATGTCACGAGCTCGGCCCCATCCACTGTGACTGAAAGCAAAAGTCAATCTGGGCTGCTTTGATATTAAACCATTAATGAGATTAATCTAAAGTCATAAAAAAGAACTCTAAAAAATTGTTTTCTTTCAGCACAAAATTTCACACCACACATTTCTGCAGAAATATGTCCTCTGGTTCACTGGTATTTCATTTTACTATGTGGTTCATTTTTTATTTATCATTGCCATCGGAGTTATGAAACCGTCAGTGTGACTGCAATCTTATGTGCAGCAGAGAGGAATTGTGCCTGTGACATTTAGGGGCAGTTATTGATCTGGGGGATATTAACACTTCTCTTAGAGCCAAAGGACACGTGAGCACAAACAGCTTTATTAAATGATGTGTCTTAACGCTCTATTAAAACGCAAACTGAGGGGAAAGGATTTGTTTCTTCCCTGATGTCATAGTTGCACTCATGAACTAAGCCTTCTGTGTGTGTCTCTCTGTAGACTGTGGTGTGAATGTGCACAAAGAGTGCTCAGCTCTGGTACCCAATGACTGCAAACCGGACCTCAGACACGTCCGGAAGGTGTACAGCTGTGACCTGACCACCCTGGTAAAAGCTTACAACACGGCCCGGCCTATGGTGGTGGACATGTGCATACGAGAAATCGAGTCCAGAGGTTAGTTTCTGATCACTTGATTTGTTTTTGACTGCATAGACCGAAACAGAAATGTGGTATATATTCCCAATTAGACTGAAGGAAATCTTAATTTTTAGTTCCACAGTTAAGTCTTAAGTCTTGTTCTGGTTGATATGATTGAAATAATTTCCGTTTTGATGTTGGGGGATTTGAAAAAACCAGCAGAGAAATTTATTTAAAAGTCTTCAAATCTCATCACAGTACATGCAACCATAACATTATCATACGGTTGACAGGGAAATTTAATCACGGTCTTTTTTATTTGTTTACTGTATTCATGCATATTGTTACACAGCCTCTCTTTAATTCTTTACTAAGTGAAATGCCATATCTATCTTATAGTTTATGGTGCCAAAAGTCTGATTCAATTACCGACTTGGTTCATGTTTTGCTTTTGGAGGGGTGACTGAGAGAAGTAATGAGATTGCTGGTAATTGTAAAATGTGTAATTTGCAGTGCATTACGCTATTTCCTGCTGTCTTAGCTGATTGTCTTGGAGTTAAATCATTCAGCTATGTAGGAACCATACAGCTTCCTCATTGTCTTCCCTCTAATGTACGTCTGCAGCTAAGTTTGATTTATGTCTGTATCATTTTACCCACTGATGCGGAACTCTATGCACATTTGCACATGTTGTTCCATTATGTCACATTGATATTTTATATATTTATATTTATATATATTTTATTTTTTATGTATATCTACTATTGATAGTAAATTATTATTCCTAATTACTCATTTCTAAATGCCAATCACTTTTATGTATTACTGTGTACAGTTTTCTTTTTTAAAAAGGTTGTTTTTTTCCTGTTGCTCCTCAAGGACTCAAGTCAGAGGGCCTCTACAGAATATCTGGATTTAGTGATTCAGTGGAGGAAGTCAAGATGGGGTTTGACAAAGGTTTGTATTCACTGTTTTATTGGTTGCTGACAATATGACAGCGGAACGCAATGCTAGCTTACATATGTCAACTTGCACAAAGCCCTTCAGATTAATGAAAAATTGACACATTTGTGAAGGATTAGTGTCCATCTGGGAATGCAGATCCCATTCTGATATCGCATGCAGGATTTAACTGTGTTAACAGACAAGGGGGATCTCTGGGGTCACAAGCCATAAAAGTCCTGTCACTGCTTTAAACGTGGCTGTGTTGGGATTCAGTGGTCAACTTAGTAAGAATAAACCTGCCTTGGCCCAAAGCAGCCTGAATTTAAACTGTAAGACAGCCCCTGCAGCAGTGGACTGCACTCTGAGCCAGATCCACATGCAGGAGATCATCCATGACAGAGTGTCTTTCCAGCTCACAGCACAGTGATGTTCAGTCTGCCTGCACAACTAGGCCATGGCCTCCTCTAGAAAGCATACATAACCAAGGGAAAGTCAGAATTAAACAGGCCAGGGGGGTGATATCGGCTACTTTGCTAGAATATAGAGCCAGAGTTACACCTCTGTAACACAGGCTCCACTCCACAGTAGAGACATGAAAGTTTTGAAGTGAGCTTGTTTTTTTTTCTTCAAATCTTCACAGATGGTGAAAAGACAGACATCTCAGTAAATGCCTATGAAGACATCAACATCATCACGAGCGCACTGAAACTGTACCTCAGGGATTTGCCAGTTCCCATCATCTCATACGATGCTTACCCCAGGTTCATTGAGGCTGCAAGTACGTCATAACTTTCCAAATCACTTGAAGCACACCTGCGTTCAAACGCTCACTGCCAAGCTTCTTATATGTTTGTGTGACATCAGTCTTATTCCGCGTTACCTGAATGCTTTCACTTGTGTCCACTTACTTAGTTATGTTTGTTTTTGATTCATCATTTACTTCTCTTTTTGGGGTTGGGAAAAACACACCACGATATTACATTAAAAACTTGTATTTATAGTTATTTATATGCATCAGCTTTATTCTTGCTAGATTGGCACAATGCATATTCATGTCTGGCCTGAAAAAAACACTTAACTTTAATCAAAGACCTAAATTTGGTCCATATGTGCCTGTCTATTCATAGATAGTTTTTATTTCACCACAGGAGCTAACGTAACTGATTTCTTACCAAACTTTGAGGATGCAAAGTAGTCTAGTCGCTTGTTAAACAAGGTTTTTTTTTATCTATGCCTTCCCTTTTTTCATCTTTTTGATGTAGTTTATTATTTCTATTTTCATTTTTTCTTGTCTTTTGAATTTTTTCATTCCTCAGTTGTCACTTTGCATCTCTGCTGTCTCATGGCTTGTTGTTGTTGTTGTTGTTGTTGTTGTTGTTGTTTTCCTTTGTTGTTGATGTTGTTTTGAGTCCGAGCACATCTTCCTCTAATTATTTAACACTCTGTAGCTATCTTAAATAAAGACTCTGATGTGGGTCAATTTCACCTTTAAAGGCCCAAACCCTGCGCCCTGGGGGCCCATTCAGTGATCATTTCATGCTAATTTCAACTTCATCTCTCTCTGGCAGAGCTCACCGATCCGGAGAAAAAGCTGGAAGCTTTCCGTGAGGCTCTTGCTCTGCTGCCACCATCACACAGGGAAACTCTGAAGTACCTCATGGCCCATTTAAAAAGGTAATCCAAAATTCTGCAACTGCTTGGCCACATATTGAAAATTAGAGGGGGATCAGAAAAAGTACTTATTCAAAAGCTGATTCTGCCTTCCTTTGTTCATCTTCTTAACAGAAAGTAGGACTTATTGGGATTTCAAATCCATTATATAGACTTTTTTGTTACTTTTCCAACAGTTTTCTTCTTAAAAATTATTTTCTTGAAAAAGATCATTGCATTCTCCTCCTGAGGGATTAGTTAAATGATTCATTAACTCTTCCTCTGTCTTAGTGCTTTTCTTTAATTATGCTGTAATTAACATTGTAGGGTGACACAGAATGAGGAATTCAACCTGATGAGCGCAGAGAACCTTGGCATTGTCTTCGGGCCTACCCTCATGCGTGCACCCAACCAGGACGCCATAGCAGCACTGAACGACATCCGCTACCAGAGACAGGTGGTCGAAGCGCTCATTAAAAACGACGAGATGCTCTTCTAAACTCCGATCAGGGCTTTTTTTTTAGAACAGTTCTCTAACCAATCTTATGTGTTAAGACCTGCACAACTGTTTGTATAACACTGATCAACCCGTTTTTGAATGCCTTGTGTATGGACACTACATCTCTCCTCCACTGTATTTGGTGTGGATGGTAAACCTTACACTTGTACATACATTACGTCTCCCCATTTTTGTCGGGGATTTTCCAGGAGCTTACCGACCAGCATGCATGGTGCGAGGTCGGCGTTGGTTTTTAGTGGTAACCCAGCATGTGTCCAGATTGTGTAGCGTTGTGATTTTGCGTTTGTCTGGTGTGCGGTAGTCATTGTTTACATTCCCAGCTGCCTGTTGTGCAGCTACTTCTTTGAAATTTTATATAGCTGGTCGTAAAAAAAGATAATAAAAAAAACTACTAATTTTTTTCTGGGGTAATTTTTATGATACTGTATTTTTTTACCTCCTCAAATGTTTGTAAGTCACCTGCTGTTATTAGTTGAATGTGCTTTTCCTTTTTCCTGCCTAAACACTGGTGCATTTTCCTTACAATAACATTTTTACTGTGCTATAAAAAGCCTTATTTGTGAAATTAATTTTGTACTGTAATCGTTTTCTACACAACTTGTGCATGATCTCTGTAATTTATTAAACCCTACTTAAAGAAATTGAGTGCTCTTTAAATCATTGTAAAAATAAGGATCATCATCACCTTTTGTGGTTGAAGAAACAGTGAATGCAACCCTTGGGCTGACATTGCTAAGTCAACGGTATATAGTTTCGTACAAGTGTCATTATTCATTTGCAAATGTGTGTTTGTGGCTGCTAATGAGAAGTGAGTTCAGTTTTCACTCTCTCTGTGATTACCTTTTAGACCTTTTGTCTTTTGTTTAATGTCGCTTTGTCAGTGATTGAGTGTTTTCTAGAAACAGCAACCTGCAGCGGCTGTGAACCATTTTGAAACAGCAGTGGAATAATAAAGAAGTCTTGAGAAACCCAATCGTTTACGTGAGAGGAACTAAAAGCTCTTTCAAAGACAGCAGATCAGAGTGACAATTCCTGGGGCGTTTGTTTTTCTGGTAATATTTGTGTTGGTTAGAAAAAATATTTCATGCAATATATCAATGCCAAAATTGAGCCTGCCTATGTAATGACAATAAATTATGATAAACACCAGTTTGAAATGAAAAGCTTAAATGCTTACTTCAGTAAGTACCTCAGTAAGTGTTACTACATATTATTCCTTCCATGGATAAAGTGCTCCTAACAGGTCCCTCTGCTGGTCCAACTTTGTGCTTGTCTCACTTCCTAAGAATCAGTCTCCCTCTCTTTGATTGTTGTTGTAGAAAAATGTTTTCAAAAATCCATATCATAACTTAAATTCAACATTTTCAGTTCCCTGTGGAGTTGGAACTACAGAGCTCCTTATATGTTGCATCTGAAAACACAAAGTTGGAACAAATGCAAACATAAGTTTAACCCCAACCTTGATGAACCTGTGTTGCCATACTAAACACACAGATAGGGAGTCAGTGAAAATCAGGGAAACATCCTAAATCAGGAAAAAGTATTTTTAGAATAATAAGGTGCAATTAAATGAGGATAGAGGATGTATGTTAGACACAATATGAACCGAGTTTGGTAGCTTGTTAGCACTGACAGGATGATTTTTAGTAAATATCAAAGTCTGTACTAAAAATGCCTCACTGGCATCATCAGTCAAATGAATCCACCATGAAATCATGACATTGAATCTTGATTAATAGTAGTAGTATAATGTTGATGCTATGACCTGAGCATGCAAATAAAATAACAAAAATCCATGACCTGCTTCTGTTTGAGCCACACTACAGCAGCCTTTCTAAACAAAACAGTCATAAATAGATTAATTGAAATTAATATTAGAAAAAAATCAAAATAGATTTCTTGACAATCAGAAAATTTACGAGGACTACATAATGTTCTAACGGAGAATAAAATCTATATTTTTCATGACTTTATTTTAATTTTTCATCATCTAATTTTCTGTATGGCTTTCTTAACAACCCTGGCAGTCATGGTGCATAAGCAAACACTGGTGTGTATATTCAGTGTGACAGATTGTGCCTGAGAGCCACACATCACGTGAATACTGAAGATGCTCCAAAGCATAGATTCTCGTGATTAAAACCAAACCTAAAGCAGCCCCACTGTGCTCATCAGAGCTTCCTAATTGTGTTGCACATGTGTAAACAATGTCACATAAAATGAACGAATTTCAGGTTTAATTACCCACAGGTTAAGTGTTTCCAAGCAGTTTCCAAGAATCAGTCACACAAGCCATCAGTGGCTCATTTCAGCTCAACCCAAGCTTCTTTTTCTCTTACAATTCTTTGTAAACCTTCATCATGTCAGGATTAATGCTGACTTATAATTTTGGCAAACGTATATTGAGTGTAGCCTCATTTCTAGCCTCCATCTTAATTTTTGCGCCTCTGATATCGCCACAAAGGCAATCTCTCATTGACATTTAATCACACCAGTGTTGTGACCGCATCTCACCGAGTTAATGTGAGCCAAATTTGGACCAGTCTCTCGTGATTGTGTGGCAAAATTGGATTTTCATTCAACCGTTTATCCTCCCACACCATTATCAACCATTCTGAATATATCACACCTTCATCTGCGAAGCGCATTGACTGCCAGAGGAGGCAAACCGAGCCAATAAAGCTATCACGCTCTCCGTCTCGCAGTCAGATGCCGTGATAACACCGTGCAATAGTGGTGTCTGCAGAACGTATTGTGTGCTGCATGCGCATTATTCAAAGCAGTGAGAGTAGATTTGAGAGGCTGTGATCCATGAGATAGCTGACCTTTCTCTACGAACTGGATGGTAACACTTGCATCCCTGCACAAAACTGGCCTGAATACACAACTGAGTCTTGAAACTCAACGCATTATTCAGTTCACTAGGAGGAAGCATTTGAAATTGTAATGTTTATTGTGTTTGAAAATATGCAAAATTATATTTTTTGCAATGTAATAAGGTGGTGAATAGGGAATTTGGTATGCTTGAGTCAGACACAATTCAGATCCACAAGAGGACTTAAATATGCGAGTGATATATAGTAAAAAAATATGTTTCAATGTTTATGTTGTCGTTGAGTAATTTTTGCTTAAAGCACACTATAATCTCTTCTATGAAAGCCCTCTAATCCCCCCTAATCTCCATCAATGCAGAGACACCCAGTATGTCCAGTTTCTATCAACCCCCTGCTGATATTACTGTGGTGCTTTTATTCGGATTCAATGGACATCTAATCACTTACAGACCACATGTAAACATAGGGGCTCTAATCCTCTAGAGATTGAAAACAATGTGTGCTGCTTAGGAGTCAAATAAGTGTATATCTGGGGTAAAATCAACACATAAAAGGATGTTACAAGACAGATGTGGAGAATGGTAAAGTGGAGCCAACATGGTGCAAATTCAGGTAACCCGGGTGATTGAAAATAGAGAAAGTGGGGGAGGGTTGAACCAAATCTCTGAACTCAAATGTTGCCAAAATGCTCATTTGTCCCTAAGTGAGATGAATGGGGCTTGTGGGTGAGTGGCCGGTTCATTGAACGGATCGGGTTTGTGAGGAAATTGAGTTGGTTGACCCATCACATGCCTGATGGGACAGGGAGGCTTCACAAAGAGGAGATGTAGAGGTCTAACACCTGGCCTCTGGGAGACACAAAGCTGTTTGGAAAGCAGAAGGAAATCATACCATTTCATTGCAGATATTCTCATAGAACTGTAAGGCTAAATTTTCTGATGAGGTTGTCATTTCATGTCCCTATTTCTGGGTCCTCATGATTAATAAACACAGCCAGATATTTAAAAAGAGTAAATAAAATGTAAATTGCACATCTCTTTACAGATGTACATATAAATCAATATATTACATGAATAATAACTGTAGCTGTATGGCATTTTAAATCTAGCCCATTAGATTCTGCCAATTTACAGCAAAATATCAACTGAGGAACATTATAAATGTGAAATGTTCCTAGTTTTAACAGCCAAATAATTTTGAAAACATTCCAAAGCAAATTTTTGATAAATATTTATTGTCAAAAAAGTCAAAAACACCAACCATATGGTAATAGTCCCAGAACATGATAAAGATAACCACAAACTCATAGAACTGCTTATAAATTAAATGAATAACAATAATGATAAACTCAGAGCACTGCTACTTCAAAATAAATCTCAATTTGCCTTATCTGAATACCATTTAGTAGATGGGTTCATATAAAAAAAATGCTCTGCAGCTTTGCTGTTGTTCATGACTGACAAGGATAATCAGGATTGTGACAGGATCTGATTTTTATTTATTTATTATGGATTATTTTTGTTATGGCGATAAACATTCAGTATAACAATACTATTGTGTCTTCAGCTGAAAATTGATAGAAAAAAAATCTGTTTTATTCTCACATGGATCAAACTTTTTCTAAAAACTGCCAATTTAACAGTGTTCCAAGTATCTTGTACAATTTCCATTCAGTGGCTGTTTCTGGAGCATTCCACATGAAATCTTCTGTAACTACATGCCACATATATTACAATCTCATGTTGTCATTTCTCTCTTAAATGGACCTTTATATAAATATTTTCTCCTCTCCAGCAACTAATCATTGATACAAGAAGAACTGAGTGAAGCAAACATGTGTTGTGTCTTTGCACCACTTGCTTGTATGTGGCCAAGTTTGCAATGAGATATTTCAGTGGCGGATTACTCTGGCATGTTGATCTTTTTACAGATGACAGGGATTGTGGCGCTCTCAAATGACAAGCATTGGCAGGCAGTTACTTACAGCCGCTGTCTGACAATAACAGCCCGACTGCTGGTGGAGAGGGTAGAGAGTGTACAGTAAGTCATTTGCCAGTGCTGAAAGGAAGTTTTAGAGAGGGTCAAAGCCTTTGAATTTTCATTCGGCCATCAGTCTGTGTACTGACTCTGGAACCTGGTTTTGGAGGGCCGAGTTTACTAGCAAGAATGAAAAATGTATTTTTCCTTTTTCTTCTGGTCTCCCTGGCAGGTAAGACTTTAAAACAAGAGTTTTGGATGTGCTGTTGATATATGTAATTTCAAAGTATTTCAAAGTAAGAAATAGTCAGACATATTATCGTACATGGATCTAAATATAGTGACTGAACATTTTCTTCCTCAGTTACATTCAGTGGAGCTAATGTTTAACTGATAAAAAGAAATACATTTTGGGGAAGGGACACTTTATCTACTAAGTCACTTGATTTGTTTATTTGCTGTTTGTGTTTTGTTTTGGGCTTTTTTTTAAGTTAATCCACCAACATGTGAGGTCATCTGCATGAATACTGTTAAATCATTGTGTTTGTTTAGATATATTCAAAAATCATCAAGCATTCGAACAACACACTGCTTTAAAATGACCTCCCTTTCAAGGTTGGCTGTAAAGTGAAAGGGGATCTTGCTCTGGCTTGTGACAGTTAAGTTGTGGAAATAGTATAAGAATATCTCTATTAGCAGAGCTCTCACAGGTGCGATCACATGTTCAAATGGGGTGATGCCAAATTTAGACCCTGAATTAAAGGAGTCGCCACATTCGAAGGCATTATTTTGCATCTCCTTGGACCAAATAAACAAACCTCATTTTTGAACAAATATGATCCGAAGTTGCTGCAGGTTTAAACTCACCAGCATGTTGCACCTACAGGAGGATGTTTCTCACATCTATTTTAAACTTGTATTAAGTGAACTCACCTCAGATATCAGGTGGCCTTAAAGCCATACCGCTCTGGGTTGCAACATAGTTTTCCAATACACTTGAGATTCAACCTAAGGGGGCAAACCGTACCCCAAGAGATCCATCGCTCAGTCTAAATGTATAAAAGTAACATGTCAGGTAACAACTGTAAACCTGAAATCTGCACGCTGTGGTGTCTGCAGCGGGAGCCGCCTGGGCCTCAGCTGATGAAACCAGACTGGTAAAGACCCTTTTCACTGGCTACAACAAGGTTGTCCGACCTGTCACTCATTTCAAGGATCCAGTGGTTGTAACGGTGGGGCTTCAGCTCATCCAGCTCATCAGTGTGGTGAGGCCTCACGTTTACCTCGCTGTATACCCCCCTGTCGTTACAAAGACCCGCCGTCACCACCTGCTTATGTCTCCACCCACAGGATGAGGTCAACCAGATCGTCAGCAGCAATGTGCGACTGAAGCAGGTTTGATTCGCACCTTCAGATAATTTCTTTTACATTTCATACATGGCTGTGCACCTGTACACTGTTATACGAAGAAAGCAAATATAGTTGACATGTCGGCATAAATCGTGAAACTCTGGAACTAGATTTACTAACAGAGACTAACACAGACACTTGAAAAGTTGTAGAAAACTGTAAAAAATTTGCAAGGTTGATTGAAAATGACATATTTTGGCTTATCCTTCGAATCAGAGAGGCTGTCGTCCTCCCAAAACTACACAGTGATTCTGTCTCACAAGTGAAGGAACTGCTTGAATCCCTGGGCGACAATGTGGTGCTCAGTTGACTGTTTGTCCATTTAATGCTATGAATATACGGGGGGAAAAAAGTTGTCTTCTTTTCTAAATTCTAAAGTAAAGCTGATGCAGGGAAAAATGATCCAACTTGCCTAGCTGAGATCATGTACACTTCATAAAGAATGTAAAGAGTTTAGAGAGGTTTTTTTTCTCTTTGACTTAAGAAAACATGTGGCTGCTTATGGGCATGTACATGCACAGTTCATTAAAGGAGTAGGAGACTAAGCAAGACTAGAGAGATACTGTTTGCTAAAAGCCTTTAGATCTAATTTTCTAAAATATACTCAAAATATGTCTTGCCTTTGTTTCAGATTCTAAATAAATTCAATTATGATTTCATGTCCGTCACTTACACCAGCTGTAGATTTTGCAGTAGGAAATTCAGAGGGTAACTATTTTAAACAAGCCATCATTTTGTAGAAAGTCTGGCTTTCTGCTGTATGGTTGTATGGTTGTATGTTTTTATTTTATTTTAAAAGGGTCTTTAAAATGACAGTGTAGCTTAAATAAAATCACCTTAAATCCTCTGTATTTAGGGCAAAGTCAGGGACAGGACTGATTTTGCTTTGGAAACATTTTCTTTTAATCCTTTACCACCAGATGTATTCAACCTGCTCAAATGTATTTAAAAGTTTGATCCCAAAAGCTGTTATCCTTTCCCATTGTTTGGGCTGGTTGCCTGTTTCCTTTTTTCAGCAATGGAAAGACGTGAACTTACAGTGGAACCCAGAGGATTATGGTGGCATCAAAAAGATCAGAATCCCTTCCACAGACATTTGGCGTCCAGATCTTGTTCTCTACAACAAGTAAGTTATCTCTAAAATGTTAATAGTTATCTATTTTTGATGCATGCCATGAATTTTTGCTGGAAGCTTTATTCTTTATTCAAATCAGCTTCACATGACTCAAAAGCATGACCCACCCTCCCCGCACAATCCAAACAATTGCCAGCAATATTTTGTCACCCACATAGCACGTAGGTTGCTGCAAAAGCTCAGATTTCATCAGTCTAAATCTGGCTTCCATGTATCGCAGGTCCCTAGTACCACCACAATATTGTGCAAGTGACACACAGCAACAAAGTGTACCTACCCAAAAACCCTCAGGCAATCGTGTCTCTACAATTAACAGTTTAGCCGTCATCTGTCATTTGGTGTTTCCTGTCTCTCTGTCTCTGCCCACAGTGCTGACGGTGACTTTGCCATCGTTCATGAGACCAAAGTGCTGCTGGAACACACTGGGATGATCACATGGAACCCACCGGCCATCTTCAAGAGCTACTGTGAAATCATCGTGTTGCATTTCCCCTTTGACCTCCAGAACTGCAGTATGAAGCTGGGTACCTGGACCTACGATGGGAACTTGGTTGTTGTCAATCCCGTAAGGCCATGTCATTCACAGGCAACCGTTTTTCAGCTGAGATTTAGATAAGAAGAGCGGTGCAACAACCATCCCTTTAAATTAGTCTCAGCTATTTAAACACTTAAAATCCTTACAAAGCAAATATTGAGTTTGTTCAATTTTAGGAAATTTAATTTCATTAGCCTGTCATCCAAAAAGGAATACTATATGATTAAAACAATTTAGTAGTTCACTAAATTAGATCACAAAATCTCCAAACCTTTAGAAGATGCTAAGGTTTTAAGCATTTTGGTCACATTCCCACTATTCAACAAGCTACACTGACAATTTAAAAACACGTTTTAGTTAAACCCCTGTATTAGTTGCGGTGAGCTCACAGATTTATCACCGAGGCACAAAATCCACAGAGCAACAGCAAAACAGTTACTCTGGTTCTCTGATAAAACAAGCTCTCTAATCTGATACAGATCTAACAGTAGACAACAGCTGGGTCATAAAATTGTCATTCAGTTGTAAATCTTCTCATTTGAGCTGCTCAGCATCCCGTCCAACATCTGTAGAACTGCATCTTAGCCTTGTTCTTTACTAGAGAAATCCAGCTCTACTTCACCAGTTATAGTAGGCAGCCCAGGCTTTGTAAATTAAACATACATGCATTTTTCCCGGTGAAGATAGAGGAGCCAGCTTACTTGTTAAACATACAGTCCAACAGTGTGTTTGGCTGGCTAGTCAAAGAACATCACCTTTTTTTTTCAATGAGTTATAAAAAGAACATGTCTGCTGCCTTTCCTCTCAGGATAGTGACCGCCCTGATATGAGTAACTTTATGGAAAGTGGAGAATGGGTGATGAAGGACTTCCGTGGCTGGAAGCACTGGGTCTACTACGCCTGCTGTCCGGAGACTCCCTACCTGGACATCACATATCACTTCCTCATGCTGCGGCTTCCTCTTTACTTCATTGTCAACGTCATCATCCCATGCATGCTCTTCTCCTTCCTGACTGGTCTTGTCTTTTACCTTCCCACAGACTCTGGTATGTATATACTCATATGCTCAAATAACGTGCACCAAAGAGAGCATCATTTATCTTTAGCTGTTTTTCAAAGTTAATTCCAGATTTTTTTACATTTTGAGTGTAAATCTGCCACTCAGGGGGCATGCCATTTAAGAAATTAATTCGAAAACATTTTTTAGGTTTTTAAAACCTTTTTGTTAAACTTAGTCAGCTTACAGCGAATTCAAACATGTAGTTTCACATGCAAAATCTGATTTCTGAAGTGTCTTTCAAGTTGTATCTGAACCTTTGCAGTACCTTTCATTTTCAGATGGTGTTTTGTGATATTAGTTTATATTGCGTTTGTCAAGTTCTCATACTCATGTCCTCTGTCAGTCTAAAGTGTCCCTCCATAAGCCGCTGCCAAAACTTCACAGCTTATGTGCACATCTGGAAGTGTTCCCAGTGTGTAGGCCTGCCTCATTACCCAAAGTCCCTCTGTGCTGTCAAGTCTGAAAGCAGACGTTTGCTTTAATGTATAAAACATCACTTGATCTCGGTTTCTGATATGGATGCTGACAGGATAGTGTGGAGGAGAAGCTGGTGCCAAAAAGATGCCCTCTCTGGAATAACTGCCCATACTGAGCAGCAGCAGCAGCAGCAGCAAAAACAAAAACAACAGCAAGACATGCCTTGCATTGCTTTTCTGTTTAATGTCATCTTTCTACTTTTGTGGGCGTCATTTCATTCAACAAAATAGGTTCTCAGTCTGTAGATGGGATTTGAAGAAGGAGTGATGAGAGCAGTTGTGTTTTAAATGAGAGGAATAGATTCATGATTGGTTGGACTCTTAAGGATGGACAGTATTAACTGCGCTCCCTTGTGGTGGTGGGATAAGATTACATGCCTGTGAGCCAGTGCGTGCTTAGAGTGAACGTGCCAGACTCATATTTTTTATTGTCTCTGGGTGACAATGGGTGTTGTTGAGTCTGTAGAAAAACGTGTACTCTATATCAATGTGCACTCACGAACACCTTCAATAAGCTGAGGTAATTATGTTCCAAGCAGTTGGTTCCCAGCCTTTTACCCCACGGCCCCTCAAATTGAGCCATAAGAACACAAGCTGTTTTAATGGCTTCTTATAACAGAACCATTTATCGTGTGATTTTTTTTAGCTCGTCAAAAGACAAGGAAGAATGTAAAAAATTAGAGAAAGGTAAAAAAATAGTTATTATTGTTATATTTTTCTATTTTCTATAGGTTCTATGTTATTTTTGGAATTCTTCTGTGATAAAAAATACATAACCCCAGTTTAGTAGTTTTCTCAAAACAGTGGATAGAATAATATGACCCAAATCCATCTTCCCATGAACACTAAGTTACTGAATTAATCATAATAACAAACAAACATTTTTACACTTTTTTTCTTTTTTTGCTTGTCGGTCCTGTCAGTCACATTCGGACTGAAATTAATCTGGGCTTCTTGCTTTGGAACCACAGTCCAGGCATACTGCTGGATAGAAAACCTGTTATTTAGTCTTTTCCTTGCAAACATTTCCATGAATCTTTAGGGAAAGGCTACGGGGGAAATTTCTAAGGAATCGGTTTTAGATTACCACGTTTTAATGAGTCAATCCATACTTACATGAAGCTGCAATGTTCCTAGAATATTCAATATGTGTAAAATAGTGCTTCCTTTTTGTAAGTTGTTTTTTCAGGCACATTACCACAGGCTATTCATCTTTGCCACTCATAACCACCCTCCCGTTCCCATATTCAGTTGTCTCTGAAAAAAATGTCAGTGCTCTTTTGAATGTTGGAACACCAGCAATTGTGTGACAGAATTGTTTCCTTTACATTAAGCGAGGAAGCTCCAGCATTTCAAAAAGGAGATAGTAAATTAACTATGAAAGCTATTTTCTACAGCCTATAGAACAGATCCTATCATAGCTGCAAAGTAAATATATTTTCTTAATAATTACTAGCAACCATTTTATGTTCTTTACTGGTAATATTTGACAAAGACAATGCAAAAATGAAAATGATTTGTTTTGTGTCTTCTAGGTGAGAAGATGACTCTCAGCATCTCGGTCTTGCTGTCTCTCACTGTGTTCCTGCTGGTCATTGTCGAGCTGATTCCCTCCACCTCCAGTGCTGTCCCACTCATTGGGAAGTATATGCTCTTCACCATGGTGTTTGTCATTGCTTCTATCATCATCACCGTCATCGTCATCAACACCCATCACCGCTCGCCGAGCACTCACACGATGCCGGACTGGGTCCGCAAGGTGAGCACAAAGGGGGAGCAAAACTGAGCTTTTGTCTGAGTTCCACAAGCACAACAAAGTCCCATTAAGCCTTGCAGGCTCTGGTGTGCCGCCACTGTTTTTTTTCTTTGCATTATGTTGCCATCTAGAGGTGAAATGAAGTTTTTATTATTTAAAAACCTGCTCTACTGGCTCATGCTCCTTTATTTTTTCGGCAGGTTTTTATTCAAACAATTCCCAATATCATGTTCTTCTCAACAATGAAACGCCCGGGAAAAGAAAAAGAAACCAAACCCATCTATGGCGCAGATTTCGACATCTCGGACATCTCTGGCAACCAGGTTTCCTCTGTGCCCTACCAGTCACCCATCACTAAGAATCCTGATGTCCGCAGTGCCATTGAGGGAATCAAATATATTGCAGAAACAATGAAATCAGATGAGGAATCAAACAATGTAATCGCTCATGTTTGGAATAGTGTTTCTGTTTTCAGTAGCAGTAGTTTGTCACTCTTTTTGCAATGGAACGCATTCTTACACTCTTTTTTTTATTCCTTCACCAGGCAGCTGAAGAGTGGAAGTTTGTGGCAATGGTGCTGGATCACATTCTCCTGTGTGTCTTCATGGCCGTGTGTCTCATTGGCACTTTAGGTGTCTTTTCAGGTCGCCTCATTGAGCTGAGCACACTTTGAAGGTTTTTGTTTAGAGTACCAAAAGTCTTTACTGATATTTGTCGACAAATACAAAGCACGTTCAGTAAGTTTGCTTTTGAATGCACTGTACAGGCTCTGCATATTTACACAGTTTGCCTGTGAATTGATATGTGTGCCTGCTTTTACTTTCATTTGTTGTTTTGTGAGTTTTGTCATAATTTATAAATGCATGAGAGCATGTTGTATATACAGTAGTAACCTGTCTGTGGTGTGTTTTGACTAAGTTATATCCTAGTTGGGCTATAAGTATTGATGCTTTACTCATTAAAAACTAGTATAACACATGAGCATGTTATTCTGTGTTGCCTGACATGTCATCCTCAACAATGTGGACCATTTTTGTCACTTTACACAGTGACTTGCTGTAGTTGTATTTTTATGCTTTGCTCAACAATAAAATAGACATGTTTTTTTTTCTCACAATCAGTTGTAATGCACATTTGTCTGGCTATTCCATTCTGCTTGGTGGTAGGGTTTTTACTCTGTAAAAAAAGTTAACTCTGTAAAACCTAATGTGACTTTAACACCTATGTTCAGTTAATCATTTAATCAATTCTAAGTATTTTTAGGAACACACCCAGTTAATGTACATGTGATTTTTTTTAGATTTCCAGTCTAATTACAGTAACTGTAAATAGTACACCTGATGGTGGTTTTACATTCAATATGAAAATAAAAGTACCACAGTCCTTTTAAACCTCATTTGTGGTGATTTACTGTTAAAAAAAAATAAACCAACTAATTACAGAGATTGGATTTATTCCCTGATGTTATTTACTGTTGCAGAATATATGAAATACATACACAACACAGGTCCCAATAACATTTTCAGAGATTGTCAAGCCTATGCATATATAGTGATTATATTTTTCAAAGGAAAGCTCAAATCTTATTTCTATTGTATCCTACTTTTATAGTTTACTTTTGTCTTTCATGTAATGTACACTTAATCATATAATGTAATTGTCCTAAAAAAAGACCGACTTTCACTGTGTTGTGCTTACAATTTGTGGTAATACCGTGCAAATAAAAACTGAACGCGGGTTGGTGGATGGACGAACATAAGTCCCGCCTACTCTCTTGTGATTGGTGAGAACATGTTGACAAATCAGAGATTATGAAAAGCGGTGGGTGGGACGTTAAGAAATGTGTGAGATAACGCGACACGCTGGTGCGGTAATGTGGCGTTTAATAACTATTGAAGAGCGAGGCGGAACGTTTGGCCGCGTGTGAACCTCTACCTGTTATCCATGCGTCGGCTTAGTTAGCCAAGTGACTCGTAACAACTCCTCCTGCGGGACTTTGTCCGACACATGGGACCTCAACAGAGGACACAGCAACTGTCACCAAGGTGAGTTTATGTTTAGAAGCTGTATGCGTTTACACAAGTTTAACGAGCAGGAGAAGTCGAGCTGCTTATAGGCTGGGTGGTAACAATTTTACAACGTATTTTAAACGAGTCTTTTCTGTCACGTGATTGTGTTTAGGTAACTCACGTAGTCGGCGTTTTGTTGAATATCTGCCTAAATTAGCTGTAACCGTCCCGTGTTGTCTTCCGCCTTTAGTTTCAGGGTCGCAGTCCGGACGGGAGCTGGCATTAGCATGTCTTAAAATCAGTCATGACTGCGCACACCACAGCGAGGACCAGCATGATGGAGACACCCCGCGAAATCCCCGGCTTCAACTCCTCATTCAAGGAGGAGGAAAGCTCCGACCCGTCCGCTCTCTCCTCCACCATGTCCATAGACAGGCTGTTTCCGGCTCTGCTGGAGTGCTTTGGGATTATACTGTGCGGTTACATCGCAGGCCGGACAAACATCATCACCCCGACCCAGGCCAAAGGATTGGGGAATTTTGTGTCCAAGTTTGCCCTCCCAGCACTGCTCTTTAAGAACATGGTGCTCCTGGACTTTGCTGATGTCATCTGGCCATTTCTTTGGAGCATCCTCATCGCCAAAGTGACTGTGTTTGGCATTGTTTGCATCCTAACTCTGATAGTGGCCAGTCCTGACAGTCGCTACAGCAAGGCCGGGCTCTTCTCAATATTTGCCACCCAAAGCAACGACTTCGCTTTGGGTTATCCAATAGGTAAACCTAAACCGCCGTCCACACTGCTTTTTAGGCACTGCCTATGATCTGATTGGAAGAAGTGTACATGTCATAATCTAGCTTTTCCAGTTGTAGAAAAAAGTTCAGTGTACAGTTTTTAAATAAATCCTTTAATAGATGATTACAGCAACTGACAAAATAGAATTTCTCAGCTTCAAACATGGAGATCATGTAGACAAGTAAAAACCTGTCTCGTGCCATAGGTTTTAGCTAGAATGATCTAGTGACAGAACAGAAAGTGTCTCTTTGTGTTGCTGTAGCTTTAGATGAGTAATACTTCAGTTTCCTCATTTATTTTATTTTCAGCTACATTTTATAACACAACCAACCTTCTGCTTCAGTTCTAAGGAACACTCAATACAGCAACTAGATACAAAGTGAACTTTGATTTTACTATGTGAGGGGTTTTATAACCTTTCTGTCCTCATTGTTGATAAGTGCTAATGATTAGTGTTTTTTGTGATAGTATGCAAGTTTATAAATGTGCAACCATTTAGTGTGAAATGAAACAATGACTTTCTTAATTACTTTTTTAAGCCTTTCTTTCCCTCTTCTTCCTCAGTTGAAGCACTCTACCAAAGCACACACCCAGAATACCTTCAGTATATTTACCTGGTTGCACCGGTCTCCCTGATGCTCCTAAATCCCATCGGATTTGTGCTCTGTGAGATCCAGAAGTGGAAGAATGAAGGGAACCGCCAGCAGAAAAAACTACTTATCGTGGGCCTCGTGGTTTTACAGGTCCTGAAGAACCCCATTGTTTTCATGGTTGTGATTGGTATCATCGCCCACTTTGTCCTGCACCAGACAATTCCAGCTTTCATGGCTGAGTTTTTGGATGGCTTGGCCAACTCTTTCGGGGGAGCAGCTCTGTTCTACTTGGGTCTGACTATGGTGGGTCAGTTGAAGAAATTAACCAGATCTACAGTCGTGACACTGATATTACTCATTACAGCAAAACTGTGAGTATTTTAATGGATTTTTACAGCAGCTGATGTTCTTTTTCTTTATAGGAAATTATTTTTAGTTATTAAACCACCATTTAAAGTTTATTATGGGGATTTGTGGATAGTAAGGTAGAGGTTTGCAAAGTGATCCCAGAATGATCATTTGTGCTGATGGTTTGGATGACTCAGGGATTTAGCAGACCATAAAACACTACCAGATCAATGTCTCAGGCAGGGGTGCTTGGAGTGTGTAACAGGACAATTGTTGTTTGATGTATATAAGTATTTCATTTTCTAGTCATTTTACAGCATAAAATTAACCAATGTCTCGAGTAATGAGGCCTTCTCTGCTCTTTCATCTCTCAGGCTACTAATGCCCATTATTTGTAAGGGCACGGTGGATATGTTGGACAACACCAACACCAGCACTTTGAACCACTCCAGCCTCTCTGATTACGCCTTTCTTTATGGAGTGTTTCCCACAGCACCGAGTGTTGCCATCTATGCAGTTTATTATAACACACAACTTGAAGTTGTAAGTTGTTTACTTCTCCCATTATCTCCCATTCAGGTACTGGTGTGTTCCTTAACAATGTCCTTCTTACCAAAGCTGTAATTTTTTTCCTTCCAGATAACCGCTGGGATGGTAATCAGCACTTTCCTCTCAGCTCCGATAATGTATGTTTCAGCTTGGTTACTCACAGTCCAATGGATGGATCCTCAACTTCTGAAGAATTCACTCCAGATTGTCAGCTTTGACACAAGCATAGTGAGCTTAGTTGCACTGGTGAGTCACAACATCGTTTGGGCATATGCGGGCTTGTCTTTGTGTCAGTCTTTCTGAGCTGATATTTTATCTGCTGCTTCTTCTGCAGCAGTGTCCCACTTTGAAAGTTACCTCAGTTTGTATTTTAAACTGTTTTTTCTGGAAGAGAATCCGGCTTGTTATTAGACACTACAAACCACTGAAAGTGTCTGTCTTTAAAAGGACCAGCTATTCAGTTAGCGTGCCATCTCACAGAAGCTTTACTGACAGACTTACTTCCTCATTCTCACTTTCAGGGCCTCTTTTAGGGAACTTAAAAACTACCGATTATAGTGATGAAACATGTTCACAGCTATGTTTGAATTTTCTTACCACATACTTTTAACTGTTCCTCTGCGTTTTTATTTTTAGTAAGTTTGAATATATTTTCTCCTTTTCATAAAGTATTTCCAGATAGTGCAGATATTGAGTAAAGGGCCAAAAATGTTGAATATGTATCTTATCTTACAATCGTGCAAATGTCTGTATGCAAACCATATGCAAATATTTGGATCTGTGTGTTTCTTCTGATAGGTGTGGACGATTACTGTTATGTTTTTGAGTAAGAAATTCAAGAGGCTACCTCACATGTTTACTGTCAACCTTTTCTTTGCACAGGTAAAAATGCCACCACAAACTCTCCCGGTCATTATTTCCTACCAAATAAAACGGCTATAGTTATGTGCCTACAAATGACTTCACGTTAATGTTTATATTGATTATTCTGTCCTTTTCACTCAGTTGCTAACATGCATTGGGATGATTCTGTGGAACTTTGCTGTAAAGGGAGACAACTTTATCTGGCGGGTCCTGACCTTCACGTTACTGTGTATTTCACTCTACAGTACTTACATATGGCCAGGTAGGCACTCACAGTAGCCACTCATTGAATTGGCTGTCTTGAGCTGTGAGATCTGTTGTTTTACTGATCTTTGTGTAATGTGCATTCTGTTGTTTTAGGATTGATGGCACTCTCAATGGTGCTCATGAAAAAGTATGAGAATCTGAAAGGTTCATCTGGGATGTTGGTCATTGCCGGCTGGGGGTAAGTCACTTTTGATTAGCTCAGAAATTAAACCAAGTAAGTTTGTCTTGTCCACTAAAAGCAAAGTCATATTAGCGTCAACAGGCGATAGTGTTTGAGGTGCACACCAAGGTTCCTGTTCCAGATTAACTTCCAAACTTCCTGTAAACATAAGAGGCGAAAAGGGCCTCAGGAATATTCTGATGACAGGGCTGTTAGACTTGTTTTTTGCAGGATGTTAAATGCTTTTTGTTAATTGTTTTTCCCCACAGGATTCCATCTTTGTTTGTGGCTGTTCTGCTCATGGCTGGCCGAGAAACCCCCGACACAATTGATTCCTATTTCTTCTATGGCAGACCACAGGTAACAAAGCCTGCGGATTGTTTGCCGTGTTCTTTCATTTGGTGTAATAATGGAAACTTACAAAAAAATTTGGCATAATGTCTGTTTTCTGTTAGATAATCTGCACCACCATTGTTATCAGCCTCAGCATATTCCTGGGAGGAGGCTCTCTTGTATGTCTCAGTAGAGGAAGCTGGGCTCAAAACCCAGGGGGCAGCTCTTCGTCTGACACAGCAGAAGATCATGTGACAGAAGCTGAACCAGGAATCCAGACTGTAATAGAGCCAATCACCACAGCAGGAGAGAGGGGTATTTATTTTATGAAGAACATTCACTTTAGGTTATTAGTTTCTTTTCTTTAAACAGGTTAACAATTGTTGCTGCTATGTTAATTAAACAAAAGCAAGGTTTAGAAATGTTCAAGGCTGTTGATTAAGCTGATCACACAATCAAATAATCAAATGGTCTCAAATCAAGAAAAAAATCACTTATTTAAAACTTCTGAGTAAAAATGTGTGATCTTACCCAACCTACCTGACAGAGACATAATACATAAACTCTTGTGAGCTGAACTGGAGGATTTGTTTTTGTACTAATTACGTGTAGCATCACAGTTATATCTTAAATTAGCTTAGCTTAAAGAGATTTCAGCACAGCCAGTTGTCATGTGTTGATAGAATCTTTAATCAAATGAAGTCATTATTTTATTGTCTGAGACATGTCATTATTATGATGTTTATGAAGTCGATAGAGTTTTATATCTGTCCATGAGAAACTAAATGTATTTGGTTACCTTTATGAGATATTTATTGTTGGCTTTATGTGTGAACTGAGATGAAAGGTCAGTGAATCCTTTTCCATGTTGTTTCTTATCAGAGTGCCTCATATGTGAGTGTGCTTCACCCATGCCTGACATGATCGTTAGCACAAATATGAACGGCGCACCAGCCACACTTGCAGGTATTTAACTGATAGACAACTGGAATTTCATGAGACTCTTTAAATGGTCCAATCCACCAGCTAAACCTGAGAAACAATGTGTGATCAATGTGAAGATTTATGAAGCTCATGAAGTTTCAGCATGATCAGTTTCTGTTCTGCTCTCCCTTTCAGGTCAGTGTGAAAATGGATGTGAATCATCGGACTGCCTGCTGGCTGAAATGGAGGAGCTCCAACTGGTTGAAGATAGACAAGTGGTCCGTCATGTGCTCATGTGTCTGCTGCTGACTGTCAGCCTGATCGCTGTATGTAAACCACCTCTTTTCACTGCTGCATTAAGGATAAGTCAGCCTTCACTGAACTGCTTATTATTGTAAGAGCAGCAAAAACCAAAATGGATACAAATAGACGAGCTGATCCTTTCCCAGCTCCTGTCAGAGGAAGGGATTTAGAAACTTGCTGAGAAACCCACATTAGAAAATCTCCAAATGTTAAAGATGTATTTCTATAACTATTTGTTGCCCGTAGTTTTACACGTTGTTATTATGAACAGGATTCCTCTACAAGGATTTTGATCTTAAATTCCTTCCTAAATTCTTATTAACAGAACTTATGCAGCTGCTTATGGTTGCTCTATAACCACGTTCCTGGGAGACTCTACCTGGAGCTGCAGTTCTTCTGTGCTATAGCCAACTACGGACAGGTTAGTGCAACAAACACAACGGCCCCTGAAGGATTTTCTCTCTCATTGCCCCAGAGTCACAATATTTACATTTTCTGTCAACAGGGACTGCTCTCCTTTGCTCTTTTTGGGCTGGACAAACACTTGATCCTATCGCCATTTAAATGGTAAAGAGTGTTTACGGTTGCCTCACTTTAAAGCATGTTCAAATATATACATGTTGTGTGTACAAAACTGTGTGTTACCTCTATTTTAATGATTGTTTAGGTTATACAGGCTGTGGTCTGTAAAGAAGCGAGAAGAGCATCCACGGCCTGGTTTACCCGATGAGATCAGGATGACCTGTAACCAGTTCACCAAATACCACAAACAGCAGTGTTTTCAGGACATTGTTAAAAAGAGAAGGTGAGAGCATGCCTTCTGCTTTCCTCTGGTCTGAGGTTGATGAGACGGTGTCGTGATCATGTTCTCATCTCACATGTGGGATACATTCTTGGCACTTGTCCAAAGGCAGAAAAAAACAAAAACAATTTTTGATATCTAAAAGAATACAGGACTTTGCACACAGTCTGTGGTGGGTGTGGGTTCTGTCAACAGCTCCTCTGTCTCTGGCCACAGCAGCAGTGCTGGAGCTGAAATCTTTTCTATCACTAACTTCCAGGTGTGGGAAGGAGACTGTGGTGGACTGTTTTCTTGGCCTTGAGCTTGTGGAGTGGCTTCAGCAGGTGGGCTTGGCGCAGGACCGCGGTGACGCGCTACTGTACGGGACGCGGCTGCAGCAGGGCGGTGTGCTTCAGCACATCAAGCAAGAATACGGCTTTGAAGACAGTCAACTACATTACTACTTTCTTCCATAAAACAAAAGGGTGAAGTTGGCACACTGCCCATTTGAGTTTAAACAGGAAATTCTTCTATGTTCACACCCTGCTCAGAGCAGGACCAGACAATCCACTATTGTGACATGTAACATCACATTAATGTGGAGGAACTGGCTACAGCAGACTGTTACGTTTAGGCATTGACACGTGAGATTAAAAGCTGCGACTAAAGGGAACTGAAAAGGGTAAAAGGTCTGACAGGCCTTCACATGTTAGAATCACCCTCTCCGTCTTCTGTCGTTCATATATTTCAATATGTTTTTGTATTGCAGAGTTCAGCTTTACTCGTAAATGCCATTTACATGCAAATGGCATCCTGAGTCTTTTTCTGATAACGCTTAGCAGTTACTGTCTCAGTAACTTGATGTTTGTTTGTTTTTACGGCCTAGCACTGAAAATATCACATAAGTGCCACACACTGCTGCTTCTGGACGCAGCGGTCCGCTGGACGCAGCGGTCAGCTTCTTGTTTAAAAGTAAATCAAGGAAAGTCATCAGAGCTTTCCTGCACAAGAGATGGAGAAAAGGTAAAATCCTAAAAGCCCAGTGCACTATTGAATATGTTACATTTCAAGCTGTGCATTATGTGGAAAGCAGTTGCAGATAATTTCTCTTTATTATATGCATGTTCTTGTCTGTGTTTGATAACACAGACTGAGATTGCACTTTGCTCCACCTTGACATGCCCTCTTTGATCTATTAAGAAGATCAAAAATTTAGTAATAGCGACATTTCAGTTTCTTGAAATATCAAATGTACTATAGACAATGTGAATCTAATAAGCCATGGAATGCCAATTAGTTACGGTTCTGTTTTTAGATGCAAGTTTTCTAGAACGTGAAATACAGCTGCCTTGTTTTCACAGTTAGTGTTATCGTGTACCTCTGTTTAATCGTGTCATCACCAAGCACTGATGGTTATCCCTCACGTTTGGGAGAAAAGACACCACATGGTGCCCATCAGTGCAGTGGATGTCAAAGGGATTTGTTGTCTCGTGGTAAAACAAGACTTTTGAATGATGGTGAAAATGTTCCTTTTTTATACACTCAACAGTGTGTTAACTTCCTTTTCTCTCAGTTTGGGTAGCAAAGGGGTGCTTTCATTATGCCTGTTACCTGCTGAGTGGACCATTGCTTGTTCTGTGCCAGACTAACTAGAAGAGTAAAATCACTCCTCCAAAAAGAATTGAGGGAAGGTGGAATTGATTTTTATTATATTTTGTAATATATTTATCTTACCAGTGTCTGTTTACAGCTAATCCAGTTTGAGGCACAACTACTGTAGCTTAAATAACTTGTTTTAATTGAATAAATTAGAATGTGGGATTTGACAATATAACAATGTAGATGTTGTTGATTCACAAGGAATCAATACCTGAGCTATGAAAAGGGATTTTCCACCTTGATAAGATCATTTCAGTTTAACCTGTTAAATTTTCAATCACATCACTGATATTGAATAAAAGATCAACACAGGGAACAATATTGCCTACTGGCACCCAGTCAGGGTTTTATTTCTTGTTAGAATGTGAAACAAAGAGATACTGCTGCTTACACAGTGAGTGTCATCATTCCCTTCTGTTCCTCTCAGAGTTAAGACTATCTGAAACACTGGAATTTATCTAATTGGAATGTGTTTTTTTGGTTTTCTTTTTGCACATTAGATTGACTGAATGTTATTGAATATAACTTTGCCATCTAAAGGGGAGACATATTTGTCAGTGAGAATTTTATGTTAATTTTTGTTCAGTGCAGTTTTTGAGGCACAAACTTTGACGCAACAATAATACTAATTATAATAATATAATATAATGTAAGTAATAATCATGACTTAAATACTTGAATTCAATGGAAAACCACTCTGTAACTGCTGTCACGCCAACTGTATCTTTATGATGTAGCAAACATTGATAGTGATACGTATCCATCTGCAAATGAAAACTCCTTACATTTGAAAATTATATTTGTTTTCCATGAGATAAAGGTACAGCTTCATATCTGTGCTTTTGATTGACCATCTGTTACTGACATTGCCCTTTTTACACAAATATTCACAAAAAAACAGTATAAAGTATAAGTATAAAGCTCCATCACGTAAGCCTGATTGTCACCATTTGTAAATCCAGCCCACAAAAGAAAATATATAAATCCAGCACATTATGAATTTGCGTCATAGTTTAAGCCTCAAGCATTTGTCCTTGAAAATGCTCAGCTGTCTTTAAGATACACCATGTAAATTAAAAGTTGATGCTGCTACCTGTTCTGTTTATGTTGATAACAATAAAGCTTGAGCTAAATAAGTTGAATGTTTTTTTAAGCAAATGTTTGCTTTATTCACTTGAAGCATAAACAAAGTTATTTAATACAATTCCTGTTGTGCAAGTTTCTGCCAAAGGTTGCTGATTATATTATGTAAAATGTCTGAAGTAGTCAGGGAATAAGCGGTATTGATAATGGATGGATGTCTGAAGTAGATATTCTCTACCCTTCAAATCACATGTTGTACAGACAATTAGTTCCTAAAACATTTGCATTCAGTGACAAATTAAACAAACGTTAGTCATGAAATTCATTAAATTATTTTCATGCCTTTTAATGGCTTATGTTGGATAAAGCAGATCCATTCCAAGTCATTAAACAATTGAAGAATTTCAACCCCATTGAATTAACTGATCTGCCAAGCAAACACTGGCTCCTCACTAAAAGCTGAAGCAGGAACAGCCTCCTGCTGACACGCTACAGGCCTGTTAGACTCCATAAATGTGCAGTCCACTCAGATTTTGTTGTAAATGGACAACTCATTTTGAACAGAGCTTGAGAACAGGTTCACTAAAAGATCAGGATCATCGATGCCTTGTGTGAGAATCTCCTTCATCTTCTCTACCGTCTCCTTCTCCAGCTCCCTCATACTCTCTGTTATCTCCAGCCCTTTGTCCTATAGGGGAAAAAAGTTAAGCCTGAGTTTTGAGAAAAGGTTTAGCAGACATTAACAACTGCAGTGATTAGCTCACTGAGATTGAGAGGCTAAAAGAAAATGCTTAACCTTGCAGGATTCAATCATGGCAGCCACTAGCTCGTTTTTGACAAACAACGGGTGCTTGCGGTCGGGCTTTCTCTGGAAACGGGGTTTCATCTTTACTGGATCCTCTGGGCCAAAACTTGGGGAAGTAGTTTCCTTCAGCAGATGGGCATTTTTCACAAAGATGAACGGTTTGAATACAGACCTGGTAAACAAAAGAGCAACTGAGTAAATCATTTGTTTTAAAACAGAGAAAGGTTGATTTCAGGAGGGCTTGAGTGAGGCACCTTTCTGGGTCTGGAGTCGCTGTAAAATAGTGAACCCCTGGCAGAGCGGGGTCTGCGGGTATCACAGACACCATACTTCCTGTCGTCATGAACATGCCCTCCATGTTGATGCCACTGTCTTTATCTCTCAGGATATCCATCATAGCCTCAGCAGTAATGTGACCTTAAGGAAACAAAGCAAACCTATTGAGGAGGATGCAACCTTTCTCCTGCTGTGATTCTAATTTCCTCGGATGTGCCTCGTTTAACTACCGTCATTCTTCTCCAGCAGCTTCCTCCCTTCACAGCATCGGTCCCCAGCTGCCTCTATCCTGGCTGTGGTTAAAAAGGAGTAAACTGTAGCAAAGTTGAACTCTGTTTGCCCATCCCACCAGCCTTTGCCTCTGGCATATTCCCTCATTCCTGGATGTTCTTTGTCTATCTTGGTTGTTATGGCGTACTGGTTTGAGATGTTTCGATATCCACCTAGAGACAGCAGCACAAAATGGCATTATTCAACAGCAGCACAACCAGTAATGTGTCATTAAAAACTAACCGAGTAGTGTCCATCTGCATCCATTTCTCTGTCTACAGATAAATGCTGCGGCTTAGTTTAGAGTAAAACAGTTACCAGCGTCAACAGTTTTAAAGCCCCTAAATGTTACTGAAAGTCTTGTGAGCTGAACATTTTTCGATTTTGGGGATAAAGAAAAAAAAATCAGCAGCGCTCTCTGCTGGGGAAAATTTGCAACTATTTTGAATGTAATCATTTAAATCAAATTTAACTTGACACTTTGGAATACCTGTACCACACTGTATTTTTCATTGATGTACTTATACTTCAAAATGTTGTTTTTTTAGATGAAAATCTTTATTGCCAGAAAAAAAGTAATGAAATATATGTTGATTTGTGGCATTGGTAGTATGTTTAGTCAGCACTGTGACTTTTGAAACCTGCTGTGCTTCTCTTTTTTGTGGGTTGGTCACCTGAATGTCCATTTTATGCCATTTGTGCTCGTTTGGGTTACCTTCCACTCGTTCTGCAGCCCAGTACTTCCCTGACGTCTCCAGCAGCCATGCCTCCTTTCTGTCTGAGATGAGGAAACTGTTGTGGTAGGTGAAGCCACAGTCGTCTTCCATACATGATCCTCCCTGGCCGTGCTTCTCCAAAAGCTCAGTGATAACATCCACAGCTTTCTCAGCTGTGTCAGCTCTCTCAAGTCCAAGTCTGTAAAATCAAAGAATAGGAGGTTTTTTCATGAGCCCATAATGGGTGAAAATATAGTAAATTATACCCTTCATAACTTAAGTTAAATATGTTCAAACGCTTCACATGGGGGAGCCATGTGAATTATTTTACAGGGCTTTACCTGACAAGATCCATGCCAAGAAGAGCCTCCTCAGAATCAGCTTTCTCTCTCCCCCACACCGCCTCATTTCCAATGCAAACTTGATGCTCATTTGCACCCATCTCTGCCCCCCAGAGCCACGCTGGTCTGCTCAACACAACTGCATAGGTGTGGGCAGCCTGTTCAATCTCTATGTACGTACACTTTCCACAAAAAGAACAAGACACAAAGACAATAAATTTTCGTGGTTATTTACTTCTATGACCAGAGAACACCTGATTACTTTTCCCCCCGAAACCTGAGGATTTTGGTTTGGACAAAAAAGTTTAAACGTTATGAGGTATCAGAAAAATGTGATCAGGAATCAGTCCTAAATTGTCCTAAAGGGTACACCGTAGCTGGAGATATGTCACCTACCTCGAGCTTCTCCCCTGCATTATAGTCTCTGTCTGGGAAATATACAACCTCTTGGATTTCGTCACATGGCCTGTCAGAGTTTTTCCCAAAGATGACGAATGCCCCTTCACTGGAGGGTGGTAGAGCCACAAACGTGTCACAGGAAGAGGGCTGCATTTCAATCACAGACTGGTTGGAAGATAAAGTAATATACTGTCAGAGATTAACGTTCTCAACCAATAACCTGCAGAACGATATTATAACGCCACGAATATTTCCAGTTCACTACAACGTGATGTCTAATTGTAGTGCTCAATATAAAATAGTCTGCAAACATACCTCACCAATGTTTCTATCAGCTGTGTCCGTTTCTATTCTTGGATTTGTGTTTAGGATTTTATCGGTCACAGTTCACGTCACTGACACGGAAACAGTGCAGTCACGTGACCCAAATGAAGTCGGTTTGATATTGGAAAAAGATTAATATTTTGACTGTAAATTTACTTGAAATAGAGAAGTACTTCCATCGTTTTTTCTTCAAACTAACGTAAGATTAATCAACGTATGATCATTTTTAAAACACTTCATGATATCAACGACGACGTCACTCTTGAAAACGCAATACTGAAATGAAAAATAATCATATTTTATTTGACACCTCCGATTTAAGGATCTCAATTGATCCTCTACAATACATACTAAATTAGACTTAAAATGCAGCATTTTAGACATTTTCCTTTGTTTTTTTCTGCAAATGGCATTGATGATAGAATTTCATAAAACCTTAAGACTTGTGAGTTTTTATTATTATTTTGATCTAATTTCATTATCAAAATATGTATCACTATTCCCGCAGTACATTTTTGATATTATAAAACAAAAACATATTTATTTACTATTATTTTTTTGCAAAGGAAATAGGAGGTATGGAATTATATCAACGCGGAACTATCTTCGTGTCAACTGTTTTGTTTACAAGCGGAGGAAGCGACGTTGCGCAGTGAACTTAGAATATCGCTACGTATTTGACTCATCTTACGATAGTTAGTCTTCAGCCATGGGGAAGTCGTTTGCTAATTTCATGTGCAAGAAAGATTTTCATCCTGCTTCGAAGTCAAATATTAAAAAGGTAAGCACAAATCTGTCGTAACGGTTTTTATTTTTATGCTAGAGGCCTTTAGCTTAGCCTGCTAGCTAATTAGCTTTGCGGCGTGATAGTGACCTGCTATTTTAGTGTTAAAACTGAATAAACCACAAGATTATGTCATTTGCACTTATATCGTCATTTTATTGACATATAAATTACTTCACTGCCATGACGGTACAGTTGAAGTTAAATAATAGTAATGCTAGCATTTTAGAAGTGTTTAGAAGTGGTTCTTAACCAATAGAGCCACAGTGTACTTTTTAATGTTTTTTAAATCCATGTTTTACATGAATGAAAAAAAGGTTTTACTTGACTTACAGTGCTTGCTAACTGTAGGAATTTCTGTAGGTGTCAATGTTTGTCCTCGTTGTGTGTATCCTTGCATCTAGTCCATCCTACATTGTTTTTGTACATCAAATGGATTGATAAAGTGAAGTGCTTCTAATTCTATTTGTTAACTCGTCAAAGTGGCAACTAGACTGCCATCTTTGCTCCATACTAAGAGCTTTACCAGCTGGTTTTGATGCTCTGAATCGCTGTGCGATGGATCTCCTCAGTAAACATTCCCCTAACTAACTGCAGTTATTTATAATTATATTTTAAAAGTCAAGTTTGTGGCAACACACAGTTTTTAGATTTTATGCATAATTGGATTCCCTGCTGCAAATAAATTGGGCCAGAAACCGCGATGTGGTGTTGTTCATCTGTCAAATTTAGAGAATGTGCGCTCTAAATATCTACTTCTCATCTTTTAGGTATGGATTGCAGAACAGAAACTAACCTACGACAAGAAGAAGCAAGAAGACCTTATGCAGGCATACCTGAAAGAGCAGGACACTTACAACAACAGGTCATTTTGTACAATTGCTGAAAACAAACTTGTTAAGATGCATAATACTGCTTATATTTTCTACATTTAGAATGGAAATATTATTTAATCTTAAACTCGAAATAAGACAGCAAGCTTGTAAGAAATCCAGCTTTGCATGGTGTAACTCTTGGTTAAAACATTTAAAGGAAGAGTTGTTGTTTTGTCACACACAGGCTGTTGATGGGAGATGATCGTGTTAAAAATGGCCTAAACTTCATGTACGAGGCTCCACCTGGAGCATCTAAAGGTAAATTATCTCTAATCAATTTCAAATGTTAATTCATTCTTCCTCTTTTTTCTCCAATGTTTAACGTTTTGTTTTTTTATTCCCCCCCTTTTCATAACTTACTTCATGCTTCAAGAGGAGCGAAAAGAGGTAAAGTAGAGAAACAATTAAAACTTCATATTGAAGATAAAATGAAGAAGCTGGTTTATAGTCAAAATTGCACTGTTAATCTTACCTCCTATCTCAAATGACAGCCCACAAATTATGTTCTTTTAGAAATGTATAGACTCATTAAATTTTTCTTTAAACTGTGTATCTGTGCTTTTCCATGATCCAAACAGTGAATACTTTTAAGTTTAACTTCAGGTCTTCAGTCACATTCAGACTGCTTCACTTTTTATGATGGAAATGTTTCTGCTTCTCAGGAAGGGGAAGAAGAATGCAAATTTGAGTGGCAGAAAGTGGCCCCTCGAGAAAAGTAAGTGTTTTAATAGGCCGATTTCATCAGTAAATTCATTTACTCATTTATTCACATATCGTTTTTTATATCTTATTAGGTATGCAAAAGATGACATGAATATTAGAGACCAGCCTTTTGGCATCCAGGTGAGTTGTGCTTTCTGCCCGCTGTGTTTATATTGAGTAGCCCAAAATCAAAAGGGCATCAGATTGGATCTGATGAAGCTTGGTGCTCAGATCAAATCTTATGAGTATCAGTCATTGTGAAATTATCAAATACACACACATGCCTGATTTCCAGTCTCACATATAATGAGAGACGCTCCCTGTGCTGTTATTAGACATGCCAATCAATACGACAACACAAACAGACCCCAGTTTCATGGAACGTAAAACAGTCTCGCATTAAAAATAATGGAATGGAAATGTTTATTTGATTGTTTTGTGTTTTTCAGTCTTTGAATCATGATCAGAACAAAACTGACCAGAGAAAATCTTAAAGGAAAAGTATGCTGTGGTCATACTTCTCAGATTACTAATGTGATTTGACTTGGGGTCAAACCAGAAAGACTGAGCATGTCTCCTATAGAAGATGAATGTATTTTAAAGCACTTCTACTTCTTTCATTAAAAAAATAATAATACTAATGAAAATGGGCAGACAATCATTTACTACTGAAGCTAAAGGTTTAATCTAATTGGATAAATAAACTTTTAAATTTCTTTTTTCAAACCATTATCAAATGATTGTTTGACTGATGAAATGTTTCAAATTGTTTGAAAAATGTTTACTGTTTACTTCTCAAGGTGCGCAACGTGAGGTGCATCAAATGCCACAAATGGGGCCACGTGAACACGGACAGAGAGTGTCCGCTGTATGGCCTGTCGGGTATCAACGCCAGCTCCGTGGCCTCCGAGGAGGCAGCAGGTACGGGTCCTGACGTTTATAGGACAGATAGCGGTTTGAATCCGCTCCCTCTGCGTCTTTGCCTTTAAAGCTGTGTTTTTTTGTGGGGCTTAAGGAGAAGCAGGTTTATGTGCTAATATCATTCTTTGTAATGTTAAAGATGAGTGTGAAGCTTAACCACACTAAATGACATGTGACCCCAATAATAATCTTCATGAATGAAATATTAAGTGGTCATACAAAGGTTGTTATTGCTGAGACATGACTCCTGAAGACTTTTGCCTGTATAGCTGTGAACCCACTGGCTCCAGCCTGAGCCGATTCTGAGCTGAGCAATCAGGGAGTTGAGTAGAAAAGTAATAATGTTTACCCAGGGAGAGTCCAGTCAGAGGGGCTGATGGTGGAGTGCTGTAATGGTTCCCCTCCTGTGCCGGGAGGGAAAAAAATGTAATTATTGTGTATTCTGATTCCCCCTAACTGCTGCTTTGGCAGAGAATGATATTGTATGATTTGCTCAGCCGGAAGTGGAGTGAGTTGATTTGATGTCCCATTCTGTTAACAAAGCCGCCCCTGAAATTCCCAGTGAGGAGCCGGTGGATGGTACGGGCTCGGCATCAATGGGACTGTGAGGCTGTGATTTGTGCCAACAGGTCCGTCAATGCACCCCTCTGAGTTAATGGCGGAGATGCGAAACAGCGGATTTGCCCTGAAAAAGTGTGTCCTTGATAGAAATTCTACTGTTTGTGATCCATCGCAGGTAATTGTGCATTTCACACTGTCACCTGTGTGTCTGTGTGTGTGTGTGTGTGTGTTTGTGTGTGTGTGTGTGTGTGTGCACAGGACAATACACAAACGCACAAAGCTGAGCCTACCGATGGATGGGAAACTAAAAAAGACTTTCCTTCGACTATATAGTCGTGCATTTTCAGAAAAGCATGAGGCTACTGGCTCAGCTTAAGCATGTTCAAAATCAGAGATGTTGTTTTTAAAGATCCGTAGTTGATGTATTCTTTGCAGAGAGTCTCATTTGTCTGCAGCCTATTGTTCTGATTGCGACGCAGATTTCAGCGTGCCCTTTACTTTCACAGGAATATGTAGCCAGTGATGAGGAGGATGATCCTGAGGTGGAATTTCTGAAGTCATTGACAACCAAACAAAAGCAAAAACTCCTCAGGTAAAACCAAGATGTAGTTTACAAATGTTAATTAGTTGGAGTTTCTATGAAAACCCTGCATGTATGAATATGAAACGAGCACTGCATATATTTTCTTCTAGCTTTGATTAGAAAATCTTCCTGGGTATCATTTTATATTTATCTGAAAAGCTCAAGAATTCATTCAGGCGGGGCTGTTTGCCTCCTGTCATGTCAGAGAATGTGGGTCGAACTTTCGTCTTCCCATTTTACAGAAAACTCGATCGGCTGGAGAAACAGAAGGCCAAGAAAAAGAAGAGCAAAAAACAGAAGAAGAAAAGCAAAAGAAAACACAAGAAGAAGCAGGAGAGCAGCGACAGCTCGAGTGACTCTTCCCACAGCAGCAGCTCCCATTCAGACAGCCACGGCAAATCCAAGGGCCAAAAGAGAAAGAGCAAAAAACGCGAGTCCTGTCGGGATAACAGCTCTGAGAGCGAGCGGCCAGTCAAGAGTCAGAAAAAGGCCTCCTCCCACAGGGGCAGGTCAGCGAGCCCTCACGCTGGACAGAGGCCTCCTGTAGAAGAGAGTGGAGATCACAGACAGAGAAGGACAGACAGGGGACGGAGCAGGAGTCGGAACCGCAGCCCCGAGAACAAGATCCCGCCGAAAGGAGGTCAAGAGAGAGAGAGGCACCACAGCAGGGACGGGCAGACAGTGAGCAGCTCCACGGCCGGCGTGGGCAGAAGCGGGAGCCGCGAGAGAGGCAGGGAGGACCGAGGTAAAGACAGACGCCACAGCGGAGACAGGGAGAGGAACAGAAGAAGCACAGAAGGAAGGAGAGGAAGAACAGCGGATGGGAGGAGCAGAAGCAGAGAGAGGAGAGAAGAAAGGGAGGTCAGGGGAGAAAGAAGCAGGAGCAGGGAGATGAGAGAGAGAAGCACGGAGAGGATGAAAAGGAAGCACTGAGTTTTGTCTTTATATATCCATATATGAGGATATACAGGTGGATAAAAAAGTGAAAACTTGATTTTTTTGTTTTATTTTCCCTCAGTAAGTTAGGTTATGGGAATCTGGAAGTGTCCTCACCAGAAATCAAATTGGACCAATCTGATGTTGTTCCCCTCTCCCGCCGGTAGAGGGGGGCAGTGGACAGAAAATGCCCAGACAGCTGCTCAGCGCGCGCCCGTGCTGTTTTATATCTATGAAAGGGTCCACTTTAATTACCAGTGGAGGCAATTTTCAGCTGAACCGTTGATGGGAAAATGTTGGACTCATTTTCATTCATTTGCCCACAAACGTTCTGCTCCTGTATTTTTTTTTTTCCTCCTTCAGTTGTCATTTTTGAAACATTGTAAGATTTAAAACTTGGACTGATGGACCTTCGGTTTCTGATTAAAATTTTAAACCTCTCAATTTCTTTATTGTCCTTTTTCCGTCTCGAAAATTCAGATTATCAACACAAAAAAAAATGATATGCCTATTTATATATCCTTAAAGATCCGTGGGGGAAAAACAGCATTGTTGTACATTTTTACACTTATTTACTAATTCTAGAAATGACCAAATAGAGCAAAAATATCTGGTTGTGTCCGACTGTTGATGTGATCCCCGTTTTACATTCTGTGAACCACCTTTCTGGGTTTGTACATGTACTAAAAAATTAATTCTGCAATTTAAGACGTTTGTCCACGGAAATATTTACACATTTTAGTGTAATAACGACTGGCCTCCCATGCAAAACATGAGATAATAATGCTTAATTTGAGCAGTTAAAGGGTATTTTGGTTAGTAATATTTCTACTACATCTAAACGATACTGACAAATGTGCTGAAATGTCTAACATTTCCTCTTTTTTAATAAACAAACGCCTCTATCAGTTTTATTTCACAGACCTGCTTTGATTTTTGGCACCAAAAAAATAAATAAAACACGCTGACAAATAAATGCGACAAATATATTAAATTGCACATGTTTTCCAAGCTTTTCTCTGCTTTCTCTTTTTATATTTTGATTAGATTCAAATTGGAAGCCTAATGTCATAGTTTTACTATCGCTTCCTTGAAGCCGCTGTAGCACAAAAGGAAATGAAAATAATTTCCCTCTATTGCCTTCTGGTCAATTTAACATCCTCCTCCTCCTTTTTTTTTTTTCTAAAAGGTTGTCTGGATGCTTTTCCATGACGTATTCCCAGTCCTGGATTCAAGCTGTAATTATTCTCCCTTTTTCTTTGGGAATCGGACGCTGCATCGGGTAAGCACAAAGAAGTCAGAGAGCATCCTTGAACCCTTTCAATACGAGGCCACTGATATTCAAATAACACGCAGGCACCATTTGACTGCGTTGTGCAAAGAGCGTTTAAAATTCCGCATTTGCATATGACTCTTTGCCCCTTCTATTTTTTCTGAAGTTTACAATAAAAAAAGAAAAAGAAAAAAAAAGTGCGGCAGCAACATGTATGCATGCGGTTTGTGAGAGGGAAGCCTCAGCCTGATTCCCCCTCTATCGATTGGTATGCAAATGAAAGCAGTTAATTTGGACAATTAGAATAAATATTCGGGGACCTTTGTCAGCGAACCCCCGTGGAACCCCCCCAATAAAGAGAACCTGAACAAAAGATGTCTCGGAGATTAATTAGATATTTGATAAGACACGAATCCCTAATCGCAAATACAAGACACATGGGGCTGCGCGGTGCTCCAAGTCATAATTAATACCGTTTAACAAGATTTTCATTTGGGCATGAAATGTCTTTTCCGGGGCATTAAACATTGATTTGTTCCATAGGGGGACACGACGATAGCCTTGTTTTGTAGGTTATTCTAAGGGGTGACTAACGCCCACTTTAAAATATTTAACATTAAATTCAATGAGGAATATAAAGTCTACATCACACAATAACAGACTTTTTTTTAGATGTTTTAATTACGATAAAATGAAAGTCTTGTAGGTGGGACTTTATACAGGTAAACATTTATATATAGATATTTTTTTAGCAAAGAAATCAAACGCTTAACCAAAGTTTAAAAAGCTGTGTACATACAAGTCCACAAAGTGCGTCCAAAGTAAACTCCCTGCGTGATTTCCAGGATACCAACACGAATAAAAACAATCATTGCCTAACATTTACATGAAAATAACACATAGTTTAGTCGTCAATATACAAGATGTGTAGCTCACATTGTCCAACCAAAGTTCAACAGGTTCCGCGCACCGTCCGTTTCTCTTCAAGCTGCACCCTAAAAAAATGTTCCGTAAGCCGACATTAAATTAATTTGTCTTTCTTTGAGATGGATTTACGAATGAAATACTCGTCACGCCCGTGGTGAATATATATAGAGATATTTTTTTCTTTTCTTTTCGTATTTTTTTTTTTTTTTTAGTTTTTGCATTCGCTTCTGGAAACATTTTCTCCGTAATTGTCTGTCAAACAGGACCCGTTTTCGTTGCTGTGCAGTTTTTATTCTTAATTGTGATCTGCTTTCGTTTGGGAGCGAAGCCTCAGGGCTCGTCGTGGGGAGACGGATCCTTCACAGTGATTCTGGGGTTCACCCCTTCCAAAATAAGTTCTGGGGACTCGGACCTCGGGGTCTCCAGGTTACTGGTGTCGGTGTCGCTGTCGCTGCCCTTTTTGCCTCCTCCGCCCGCCGTGTGCGTTTTGATGTGCTTGCTCAAATGGTCACTGCGCATAAAGCGCTTGTTGCACACCGGACAGGCGAACCTTTTCTCGCCGGTGTGGGTCCTCAGGTGTCTCTGCAGCTCGTCGGAGCGCGTGAACCTCTTGCCGCAGAAAAGCCAGTTGCACACAAAAGGCCGCTCGCCGGTGTGCCATCTCAAGTGCGCCTTGAGGTGGGACGTCTTTCCGTACACTTTTCCGCAGCCGGGAATGTGGCAGCTGTGGAGTCCCTTTCTGCGCAGGCTGGCCCCCGCGGGGCCCAGCCGCTCGGCCTCCTGGCAGTTCGGACAGTCACACGTCGCCCTGCCGGAGTACCGCCTGGACGACCTGGACGAGCTGCTTATTCCCGAGCTGCCCCCTGAGATCATGGCGTTGGCGGCCGAAGCGTCCGTGTAGGTGGGGATGACCGTTTTGAAGCCGTCCTGCGTCAACAGGTGCTGGCCGGTGGACAGCAGGTGGGACGCGGACGGGCTGATTCCGGTGGAGCTGAACGCCGAGTGGGTGAGCGAGGAGAAGTCCGGGTTGTAGCCGCTCAGCTGGGAGTGGATGGCCTGCGGAGTGCCGGAGTGCAGGGAGGTCTGGAGCGTGCCGGCGGGATTCTGCACGTCCAGCCACGAGCCGGGATTAGTGTGGACGTCCCACCACGAGGACGCGCCGTTGGCCACATCCCCGGAGATGGTGGAGTGGAAGCCCGACTTGTACCACGACTCGTAGGGATGCGCCATCCCCACGCGCGGGTACAGGGTCTCTGCTGACGTGTGGACTTTGGAGATGAACGCAGACTGCCCGGACTCCTGCGTCGAGACGCTGGCGGAGTTGGAAAACAGGCCGCTGTACTCGGTGGAAAAGGCAGAGGAGGTCGGGGAGGTGGAGGCTAGGCAGAAGGCGCTGTTGGCCGCACCACTGGTCGGCGTTAGTCCCGTGGACGCGCGGCTCGTCGCGACCGTGAAGCCGGGCAGGCTGGACCCCAAGTTACAGCTGGACGAAGATCTTTTCCACGGATGAAATCCGCCTTTGGAGAACGCGCTGGAGTCGGGTAAAGTTGTAAGGGGACTGGTGTTGCCGATTTTGTTGCAAGTTGCAGCCAGCATAGCTAGTGGTGTAGTTCCAAACCGTGGTTCTTCCTAAGAAAAAGGAAACAAAGTTTAACTCAAACGCAGGCGATGAGATGTTTTTCTTCTGTGAGAAAAAAAAACGAGCACACCAGAGAGAGAAAACCATCCTCACTGACATGCCTTAGCTGTTGCTTTTTTTTTGGAATGAAGACAAGCAAATTATGTCAAATTAAGTTTCCGTGCCCTACACAACAAAACGAGAGGCCAATTCACAGTTTACAAACACGTTTGTTTGTGTGTTGAGGACGCTAATAAGAAAATCAGAAAATTATCGCAAAGTTTAAGCACATCTTGGTGAAATATTTCCACACAAAAAATGTTCACGTATTATATATACCTACTTGAAATCATACTAAGTAATTTTCACGTGCAAGGAAACATGCTTGTTTACAACATCGACACCCACATTTATATGCAAAAGAAAGTAGACCAAAACATAACAGTAACTTTACGCACAACTTTGGCGAGTGACTCGGAAGTGAGACCTACCCCAAGTATAGACGTAGCCATATCCAGGGTCTGTGCTGTGGTGAGACTGCTCCCGAGATCAGTGCTGTACGGCTCCAATGTGACTCCGGCTCACCGTGCTGACTCGGGTCACACGGGTTCTCTCTTGCCTGGCAGCTCCTAACACTACCTAGTTGTAGCGAGCGTGTTCTTTGAAGTACAGCTGGAGGAGGCGCGCAGCCAATCCGGCGGCCGCCTTCCTGGATGGGGCTTCCAGTCAGCCAATGAGCGACGCGACCGCACACAGAAACGCCGAAAACCCTGCCGTCAATCATGTGTTGTGCAGCCTCTGCTCAGACTGTCACACAACACACGATTTGGCGTGTTTTTTTCTTTTCTTTAATGCTACAGTTTTTTTTATGTATTCTCAGACGAAGGCGCAATGTCTTTCTTTTGGTTGATGAACTGAGTTCGCGCGTCAAAATCTCCCCCAGGTAAGACTTCCACTCGTCTCAAAGCGTTCGCGATATTGTGGCAGGTGTGCTCTAAAGCTGAGCATCCTGATCTCATTTTCGACATTCAGATCACGAGCGTCACGTCATTGAGGAATTGTTGACTTAAGCCCAGACTGTCAGTGTGGAGAGGGAACTGGGAGATGACTTTATCCAAGCAGCGCGCGGCCGGTGCGCGCGGAGGGGAACTCCTGCGCCGGAGCCTCTGTTCTCTGCAGCGTTTCACAGTAACTGGGGTTCAGAGGGGAAATCAGTGACGGGGGAAGTTTTGGTCAAGTCAAGTCCAGCACCAGGCCTGACATCACGAGGTTCACCTGTGGGATTGCACCTGTATGCTAGAGGGAAGAGAAACACTTGTAAGAAAAACAGTTGTCGTTCAGAAAAGGACCGGCTAACAATCTGCATTTCCTTTCAGCTAAAAAAAACAAGCAAACAAACAAACGCATTTTTGTTCAAATTTGGTCCATTTTTGCGCGATGCACACGCTCCCCTCCTTCCACTAGTTTGTGGACCTGAGTTAAGTGGTTAATTAGATCAAACTGGCAGTCTGCTTTATGAGCTCAGGTTGTAGTTACCCTTTAGAAGACAAGAATTTGATCAAAGTTTGGGCATCCAGTTACTGGTATCTGCTGCAGAGGCCGCCTGTCTCCCCACGAAGCCTGTGTTCCAGAAGCAGCATCCAACAACAGCACGCTTAATTAAATTGTGGACGACGATAAAGATTATGTACTCATCTCGTCATATCGAGATTTTCTGTTTTTTTCCCCCACACTTTGAGTTGTCTATCACAATCCAATAAGCCCGCATATTCCATAGCTTGATAAAATGCTCAGAGATAATGGCAGAATGTAAAATTGACCTGCGCTGATGTGATTCATCGTCCCTTTTAAAAGTTAAAGCAATTTTCATGAGAAAGGCTTGACCGAACGATGTGCATTACAGGATTCAGAGACGGCTGGGGTGAATAATGCTCTATTATAGCGCGTGAATGCTGCCAGTAAACACAGGCGCAATTTGTTCAAATACTCCTTTTTTTAATTCATTTTTTGCTTTATAGCTCCACCTTTGAAAGAGTGAATAAAAATCAGTCTCATCAACAACTGAGCGCTGCCAAGAAAATTGAATCATTTTTGCAATCATGACAATTTGGCAGAGTGCCGTTAACAGTATTAACTGGCTTTCCTACACAAGCAGTGTTGATTGTTGCTAAAGAAGTTAAATTAATTTAAGCGTTAAGAAAATTGAAATGAATTTCTATTTAATATAACCTAATTCATTTTTATCATAAAAAAAAGAATAATAGAGAAATTTCTTCATCATTCAGTTAATTTAGAGATTTTTTCATTCAGCAAAAACAAAGTGTCATTATTTTTGTTTGGGGTTACTGACACAGATACAGCAGCCCTGTAGATGCTAAATAATCTGGTCCACGGTTATTAAGTCTCAATAACGCGCACAATGGAGTAACTCCTAACGCAGAGACGTGAGCAATCCTCTGATCTCTGTGCAGCCAATATCTGCTATTAAATTATTTACTTAAAAGTGTTTGTAAAGAAATATTCGCAGAATAATTGCATGCCGGTTATTTTCCAAGCCAGACTTCTATTTTTTTCTGGACAAGAGGGGTGTACACGATCTTTTCCTTGTCATTCAAGTGAAAATTCTGAGTTGAATCTGTAATTCTGGACTCCATTCGTGAGCACTTCTCTGGGGCAATTAGAAGCCTATTACAAGCCATTAGATTGATCAATGTACCTTAAACAATGGGAATGATTTATTTGGTCGAACAAAACGCTCTGCATCTATTGTGATGAGTCTAAGTGGGGGTGCATCCATCAACAAAAGATAAATGATTAATTCAGACCTATTCATTTAAATTCTTTCTGCAAAGCCACCCTCACTTGCATCAAAATCCAGATTATTAGAGCCTCATTTTCTGCATGTTAAACCAGGCGGGCTGCTGGATTGGGCAGTGGTTTTCTGGTCGTGCCCCAGCTTTAATTTGTATGTCTGCAGAGGGAAGTTTATTTGAGGATGTTTAACTAATTGTTGTAATTTCGTGTGCTCGTGAGACTACACCTGTTTCTCTCAAAGGAGGCTGGAGTAAACTAAGTGTGGAATAAAGACGTTGTGCTTCTTATCTTTGGTGCTGAAGCTGCACATTTTCATCTGCCTACTTGTTTCACACAGGCTCCGGGGATGATCAGCTATAACAGAAAAGTGGGCACAAGTATGTAGATTGTCAGGAAGTGTGCACTTACTGCGTCTTCTTTTCTTAGAGCTGTTTCTGGGTTGTACAATTTATTCGATAACAGGTTACAGTACAGTTCATCTTTTATTTTGCTTGGGATATTTTATATTCCTTGGGATATCTGCCACCCTAAATTTACCAGTTCATCCTGTATTAGCCTCATAAGCAAGGAAATAAGCTCGAGATATATTCAATTGTATATGATTTAAAAAAAAAACGCCTAACATGGGGGATTTGTGAGTGTAAAACAAGAGAGGAGAGGTACTAACTTAAATTTGATGAGTGGAGACTTTTGCTGTCACATTTGTATAATGTAGATAATCAGTTGATCAGGCTTTCTTTTTCTTACACTGTATTGCATGAGACTGATCTCCCAGGCGCTCATCAACCTGCATCTACTCTATCGACTGCTAAATTTGGAGGTGCTTGCCAGCTCACAGTGTCAGCTTACATTTCCAGAGGCTGCATGTTCTATTTTCAGCACATGCAGAGAGCATGCTCGCTGAGGTGCGGCTGGCTGGTCACATTTGAGGACTTTGCTTTGGCCAATTTCTGCAACTGAATGCACATTTTCCATGTCTGTGATCTGCTGTGGATGTTGACTCAAAGTTAAGTACGGGACATGGCTCCAAAAAAGGTGTGTTTTTTATGTTTCAGGGGACGGATCCATTCAGAAATGGGCATGTGTTGAACATTATGTAATGGCAAGAGCTCGCTTTGATTGCAGACATTTCCACGTTGTGTTCATTAGGCAAAGGGAGATGTACCAAAGCCACCGCCGCTGATTGGAAGGTTTGGCACCTCACTGAAAATAGGAATCGTTGGCCTGCCCAATGTTGGGTAAGTGTTTTTGTTTATTGAGATATTTTAGCCTTGACCAGCATGTATCTTTTTTATCACTATATTTGCCCTCTTTGACAATACAGATAAGAATAAACACCAGGATGTAAACAGAGAACAATTAACTTTATGAGTACAAGTCCCCCCCCCCCAGTAGTAAAGCTCCCAGTGGAGCTCTTCCATCTCCTTCATGCAACATTGCAAACTTACAAAAAAAAAGAAAAAGTAATTCATATTATTTTGAATGCCTCCACCAGCAAGACAAAAACCATGCTTTGTGTGACTCTGTGTGGAAAATGTCTCAGGGTTCCTTAATGGTGCCAGTGTCTGGAATCACGTGTCCTGCAACCATGTCTTTCCTTTCCTGCACATGAACTTTCTCTCAGTTAAAGCATTTGCACGGCCTGTTTTTAGTGTTAAATAAGTGTAGCGACTGGGGGTAAATTTATGATTTCAAAGACCCTATATGTGTTTCCTTTATTTCATGATTCATTAGTGTTATTGCAGAATTTTCTCCTAATTAGAAAAGTTTACTTGAATTCCGTGCCTCTATAAATAAAGTCTAATTATCTGTAAAAAATTAATTAAATTAATAATCAAATAAACTGGTTTAGAGAAGTAACCTGCTGTCTGATGTTTGCTGTATTTGTTTTCAATACCCAGTTTTCACTCAATATCCCCTGCATTTGTCGATGTTTTGGTTATATTTGAGACAGTTTTGCAGGTGAATCACACCAACGCCAGCCCAGTCAAATCTCAGGTTTTTTGTGAGTTAAGAGACCATGAATGCATCTGACCAGCTCTGACCTGCACAGAGCTGGTCAGATCCATTCTCTTGGAAGCATGTATGAGGACTTCATTTGTCAGAAAGTAATGGAGCCTACAAGGCCTTCCTGTTGCTCCATCTGCAGCTGGTAGGGCGGCTTTTTTGAAGATCCATAAAACCATGATTTAGTCATTTAAACCTAAACTGGTTCTTTTCAATGCAGCTCAACATCAGGTTTCAAAAGCCATAAAGGCCCTCAATTCTGACATGTCTCAAGCTGCTGTAGTCCAAATGTGCAAACTTTGTCACTGTTGGTGTTTTAGTTAGGCCGTTGACAGGTTCAGGGTGTTTTTCTAGTGGTCATTTTTCCGTATATTAAACACTGTTTGACAGGGGAGGAAAACACAGTATTCAGTTCCATTTTCCTACAGACCTCTGTCCACATAGGACTGGTAGCGGTTTTGCCAAGTGTTGGAGTCGGCTGCACACAGCTCTCACTTTCCAGTGTCCAGTGTTTTCACGACTTACAGCAGCCAGACCACAATTTCTTCCTGTTATAAGAAGTAGAACTCACCGAGTTTGTGGCCTGCCACAGCACATTTGTGTCAAAGCAGAAGTCGTCCACCCTCCTATAGTTTCCTTATGAATCAACTGTGTTCCAGCCAGCTGCTAGGAACTGAACATGTCTCACACTCATGAAACCGGCTGCAAACAAAGTACGGTACTGCTCATGGGCAGGTGAAAGTTCATCCACGTGTATATAACTTTTCACAGAAGCAAACAATAAGGCCTAACCACCGCAAATGATTCCAGGGCTACACATTCATAAAAACATTAACCTTTCAGCTTGTGAATCTGCTACATTTCCCAAATCAAACTGATTAGAAACGTTTAAATTTAATTCAAAGCATAGCTTCTAGACTTTTTTGAATCATAATTCTTGCGGATTTTTTAGGAGATGTTCCTATTCGCCGACTGAATGAGAATGCTAAGAGTACAATGTAACAGGCACATAATAACCTCGAATCAGGCATCTTGCATTACAACAAGCAGAATGATTGAGATTAAGAAGGCATTCAAGCAGAAAAACAAAGAGTCTTCCTACCTCATGCAGACTGCTGAACTAGCCATGGAGACAACTGTTGTGATTCACAAACATCAACCTTTTAAAACATAGATTTTATGTGTTTTTTATTTTTTATTACATGTTGTTGTATATCCACGCATGTGGCATAAAAATCAGTTCTGCTGTTACCTTGGAGCTTATCTGCACTTAGAATCCGTTACTGTATCATGGTGCTCAAAAACATGCATAAATCACGCATCCAAGGCTATGGAAGGATTTTAAAACCAACTTTAGCTCTGTGTGGATACATTTTTGAAGCAGGGCTGTTTTTTTTATTCTATTTTAGAATATGAAACATACCATATGCATTAGAATGATAATTAGTTTAGACATGCTACAAAAATGCAATCCCTTAATCACAAATTAAATGTGCTCATTTAAAAGATGCAGTGATTCCTAATTACACTTTAAAAAAAAAGTGGTTTCTTTGTTTTATTTTGGTAGCAAGTAAAAAGACATTTTAGGGATTAATATTTGTTGACGAATCTAATCATGAGTTCAAATGGAGCATCCCGTACAGACAGATCTGTAAAGGATTTGCAGTTTGAATCATTTGAATGACCTTTTTGTTTTAATGTCCATTTACATAAATATCCTCATGTAGATTAGGTCCAGATGTAACATCCACATCTGTAAAGTGTCTGTAATTCTGGAACCTTTTTAAAATTATCAGAAATCTTCATAACTAGGGTTTGTCTGGAAATAAGTTTACAAAACTTTTTCTTAATGCTGTCCATGGGCTGCTGCACAAACGGGTATCTCAAGCCCACAGGATGGAATTTTTGTGTTTTTTGTGCACAAGTGAAAGCATTCATTAATGAATTGTAACTGATTGGGGTTTTTGAGCAGGTTTATGATGGATACATAATTACAATATTGGAAAGAGAAATTCCTTATCAACATTTTACACTGGACAGTGGTTATATATTCCTTCTGGGACTTTCTTTTCTGTGTGTGATGAAGGAACAGCTGTTGGACTTGTGAAAAATCAATCAAGACTTGCATGAGGGTTTGATATATGAACTTAAGAAGTCTGAGGGAACTGACTGAGGGATAAAGATGGAAAGTCCTAGATTATCCTCAACTGCCTTGCCATAATGACTCTATAGTCTGCAGATTTTGAGAACACTTGAGCAGCTTGTGCCATAGAAAATAGGTTCCTTTGTAATCACAAAATAAGGCAGCATTTTGCTGATCTTGCTTTACAGCTACAGCTATTAAAGGATTAAATATAACTAAGAATTTGGCATGGTATTTTACACAGGGGTACTTATATTAATTTTTTTATTGATTTTCTTTGTCTTCTAAAAAAAACTTAAAAATCTTGCTGCTGCGTGATTTAGTGAGGTGTTTCATGTTCATCCCGTCCAACCGGGAAGCTCTATCCAGCAGGACTTTTAAATGTCTTGACCTAACTGCTGTTTTTATTTTCAGGAAGTCAACCTTTTTCAACGTGCTGACAAAGAGTCAGGCCGCAGCTGAAAATTTCCCCTTCTGCACCATTGACCCAAATGAAAGCAGAGTGCCCATTCCAGATGAACGCTATGATTTCCTCTGCCAATTCCACAAACCTGTCAGGTATGGGGTCTCATCGTGCACGCATTATGCACACCTCACTTCTGTAGATGGTCTTCCTGCTATAGGTACGAGAATGCAACAATATTACTGACATGTTGCTGTATTGCGTTTTGTGTTTGATGTTAGATTGCTGCTCTGCTTTTCTTTCAAAGAAAAGACAAGAACTCCTGATTATCATGCATGATTATGGGGGCTGTTTAAACAGACTGTATTTAGGTCTGCTTTGCTATATGTGATCTGTACTATACTATTTCTCACATGCATGAGAGATAGCTTCCGCTGCTATTTACAGAAGCAAATGGCAATAATGATAACAATAATAATAATAATAATAGTAATGATAATAATGAATAAGGTGCTGTGTGGCATTACAGCTCACAAGTTATTGCATAAGATGGTTTGCAATGCAGACCATACCAAAGATAAAGTCGTCTACATTTTATGTATTTGTTTTTAACTAATGACTACATAAAAAATACAGTTTATTTTTGAAAAACAACATATATTAATGAAAACACATACCTGTTATCCTGTGTCAAACACTGGGGTGAAATGCTGAAGCAGTGCATGGAGAACTAACTAGATCCTTAATGCTTCATAGGAATTAAGAGAGTAAATAGCCAGGTGCTGCTAATCAAATCCACTTGATTAATTGGTCGTCAACAAGTATGAGCAGCTCATTAGCTACAGAAGTTTTGGCAGTTTGCAGGTCTAAAGCAGGTGTGTGTTAACACAATATCAAGGAGGAAAGGCATTAGCAGTGCTTTTAGAAAAGGCAATAATTGCCGTGCATCACTCTGGGAAGGGTTACAGGAACATATCCTAACACTTTGTGTACAACATTTAGACGAGACCAACCAGGAGACATCTTGGTCATAATGCATACCACCATGTTATGGGGAGAACCAAACTGAACATTTAAGCACAGACACCTCCTGCCAACTGTCATGCATGGCGATGGCAGGGTTATAATTTGGGCTTGTTTTACAGCCACAGAACCTGGGAAATGCATTCACTAAAATGATGCCTCAGTGACCCACAGCACTTCAGCCACCTTCAGTCCCAGGATGTTTCCAGCACATAGGTTTAACATTTAACATTTAACATTTAACATTATAAACATTTCTAATAAAGTGTTGTCATGTTATTAACTGAGTGTAACTTGAGGCAGAAAACTTGTTGACACATCATGGTCTTGAACATGTCTTGTGAATACCCAAATGATTGGAAGTGCTGCACATTACCGCACCACCCAAACATCTCATCCGCCTTTTAATGAGGATTTAGTTGCTTTTTCAAGTAAACACTTGAGAAACATGTTTGCTTTGATGTATAAACCCATATATGAGTCCTACTGCCTGTTAAAGTGATACTTTACAGGATGGTAAGTGTTATATTTAAGGGAATGAACAAAAACCTCATTTAAATGTCTCAGAAGGGTCTTGTCAAAGCCATGCTGGGTGAGAGTATACCTTCTAACTTAAACATTGCTGTAAACCAACTCACTAGAAGGAACTGGTGCATATATGCCTGGAAAGAATGGCAAAAGTCTCATAAAAAACACGTAAATAGAGCAACTTGGAGTTATAATTTCTGATAAATGAGAAAATAAAGGCTCTCCTTAAAGTACTGACTTGTGGAAGTAAGCTGTCACTCGCATGCTATTTCTGTAACTTATTTATGTATTATGTGTTACATTCTATGTATTTTAACAAATTTCTTTGAGACTTTATTGATATGTACGTTAACATAACAGTATTGTGTGTGTATTTTCTTTGCCACACACATTTTAGTCGTCCAATGCAGCAACATTGAAACTCACCACTGAATTAAATCTGTTCTCATTGGAAAAAAGGTCAGCAACAGAATTTGAAAATTGTTTTGGACTTTTTGCATGAAACAGATTGGTTTATATTTAATCTCAACCTTTGCCTTTACAGCAAAATCCCAGCATTCCTTAATGTTGTCGATATTGCTGGCCTGGTGAAAGGCGCTCATGCTGGACAAGGCCTGGGGAATGCCTTCCTGTCCCACATCAGTGCGTGTGATGGCATCTTCCACATGACACGTGAGTTAGTTTGCTTCATAGAAAATATTTACGTTTTTTAGCTGTGTATTCCAACTGGGTTAACATTAATGTGATCAATTTATATTGTCCCTTCTGATCCATTACAAGACTGTGAAGAAGGTAAGTGACCAAATAACAGATATAATATGAGTTTTCTCAACGTTCCTTTTTGGTCTGATCCACACTATATCTTTTTTCATCTATTTGAACTGTTATGATCCATTTTTATGGTAAAGGCTCCTTTCTCATCCTTCACAGAGACTGCCTCAGGTCCTTCTGTGGCTGACATAGTCCTTATCTTAGTCGGTTGAAGGGTGACATGCTGGAAGTACAAGTAAAATGAGCACACAGGCCGATTAAAAAATCACTGAATTTGTTTGCTCATTGTATGTCGTTATTGACTTTACCTCTATGTGAAAAGAGCTGTGATTTTAATGTCAGGCACAGAGCAGATGGATTGGAAGGGTTAAGACTGAGTCCATTTTTCTACATTGTGCTTAAGTCTTTACTCTGTATCAAAAACAAATGACATCTATTGCAATTTTAAATAAAATGTCATAATCTATTGTTTAAATTGAGTCAGTGCAGGAAAAGATGCACTTTGGCTAAGATTTAGTAATGATTTACAAAGGAAAAATCCAGCCCAAATGAAGTGCTGTCAGGTTTTAATGACCTTTCTCCATAATAATAGCCAAACAAATAGGTTGATGTTTTTCTGTATCTTTTACTGTCAACAGATCCCACCAGAAGATAATTGAAAGTTATTTTAAAAGTTTCTATTTTTCTGTGGTTCTCACTCAGACTTTCATCACCCTCAAATATAGTCCAACATGAAAACACATGAATAAACAATAAATTAATCCTTGTAAATTCTACTGCCTGTGTTTCTACAGCTTGATTTATCTTGTTCTATTGTTATCCTAGAAAGACTGACAGACATCACACTGTCACTGTTGCCGTGAGTTGCATGCTATTTCTTAAAGTCTTACTGTATACAAAAAATGAAGGTGAAATGTATCATTTGTTTGTGAATTACTGTTCCAAATGCTTGCTTTTGTCATGCACTTGTCACAATCTTAACTTTGGGGATACGTGGGATGTCTGGACTTTCGGGAAAACACAAGAATTGTGTGGATTGGCGTGCTTTTTGGTCATTTTAAATGGAATTAATGATTAATGCCACACTCATTGAAAACGTGTGGCTCTGTGGTGTATTTTAATAATTTCTACACACAACGGGCCAGACTTGTGTCCACTATGAGATCCTGAGGGAGGGCCAGCTGCCAGATGGGCTGACCCATAACTGTCTTTTCGAACGGGATATGATACTTAGCAGATTATTTGAATTGCACTGGCCCACAGAGGAAAGGGCTGTGTGATGCTTGAGCAACATGAAATAGTACCAGCATACATGATTTGCAGGGGAAGAAATAATACAAACTTATATTATATAGCACGTAGCAATAGTTTTATTTTCCATCAGTCTGTTTATTATGTATTTTTGAGTTTAATACATAGTGTTGATTGTTTGCCATATTTTTGGATGGACATGCTGTTTTTACATTATTATTATGTCAATTTGTTGTCTAAATGTTGGAAGTACTTAGTGTGTAATTCCCTATACTAAATGTGCACAGAATGTGAAGAGAAGTACCCACATGGCTTTTGACTATAAACGGATCTATGAGGATCTGTATATTCTGCATCCTAACCCAAAACCAACTCTTTTGTTTCTGCTCACTCAGAGAGAACAAACATTCCAAGAAATTGGAAATAGAAATTGAAAGCTTCTTCTGTCTATGTGTGTTTGCAACTATTTGCACTGGCATGCCATTGTTTTTCCTCTTGACAAGCCTTAAGAAACAATGTGGTTTCTTTCACAAGTTTAGCATTCAATATAGTTGCTTTTGTTATATAATTATATCTATCTAAGCAGAGTGCCACAGTAAAGCCACTGCTTTTATATGGCTTGATTATATGTTTGTGGAGATCACATCATTTTGTGTTTTGAATGGTGTTTTTATTTCTTTTTTGTTTCTGATAGTGTAGAGGGTTTGCATACTACTGCGGTTTTTCAACAGGAGCTTACTGTTGAATTGTAGTTCTGAACTCTTTAAATTTAAATGAATACATATTCCGACAATATTGTTTGAAACCTTTTCGCCCTCAAAGAAAGAGTGTGTTCTCGAAATTGACTTTTCCTCCATACATCTGCTCCGCACTCATCATGAGTATTTTCCCTACCATAATGACTTTAAAAGTCCTGCTTCAACAGCAGATTCACATTCTACAATATCTTCCAAAACTGTTTAAGTACATGATGGCATCCCGAAAGGCGATTCTGCCAAATGTACGGTGTTTCCTGTCTCATAACAAAATGGCTTGCAGGCAAAATGTTCCTTTTGCCTCCGAGGTGATTGGAAGGCAGTTGGATCCTACACTGTGTGAGACGAGACACAGACATGTTCGACTTAATCTACTCTTCTGTTTCCCACTAGCACCTCTGCCAGCTCACCTGGCCTTATTCCCAGATGTTTGGTTTCCAGCAATTAGATGTCTGAATGCTCACACAGACCCCCCATCACCGCTGGATATCTCTGGCTCATGGTTAATGAGGACTTATTTACGGCTGCATGGCACTGAGATTCTAGCCTTAAGATACCATGCCATAGAACACTTCATCTTAAGGGACTTTCTGTGGTTGTGGGCGGCCGAGTTGAAAGTGGCTGTTATTTTTGGCATCGACTTTCTCTCACTGTGATTTTCATGCTGTCAGCACCTGAATTCTTGGTTAAGCTGAGACTCTTCCTTCTTTTTCCTACAATTAAAAAAATATTTAACTTTTGGGAAAAGAAATTAAATACATTTCATGAAATATTAGCTACATTCCTGTTTATTTTTTTCTTTAGTATGCCCTCTTTAAGTACTTGTATTGTATTTGGAATGATATGAAGTTATTAGGCATTTGTTTATGCACAGTTTTCTTAAGGTTTTTGTAATGATGAGGTCTGATTATTGTTCATACCACTGGTTCTGAAAACATTCTGTGTTTAGGTCTCAGTATATGTGTGCTGTGCATTATGAAAAAAACGTCCTCACGTTGGTTGGGTTCGTCTTATATACATTTTCCCTGAAGTCATCAGGTTTGTTCAGATGCAGCTGCACAAGTTTAAGCTGTGCTGCAGTGCTCCTTTTAGAGAGAAAACATACTTCCTGTGTCTCTTTCTAACTACGCCGTCATGAGTTTCGGTATTCAATATGTTAAATGAGGCGTATAGAGTATGACATACAGCTCTTGATTTTGATTTTTCTTTTCTTTTTTTTTTAGAGTGTAGAATGTTTTCCACTTGTGAACAACTTTTCTCATAATTCGTTACAGATAGTTTGAAAATAGCTTTCAAGCCCTTCTCCAGGTGTTAAGCAGCAGCGATTGTTCCTCAAAAATCATTGCAAATGTCTTTCTTCCTTGGCATTGCTTCTACGGAACAGAACAATTCAGAAGTTTGTGTTTTCATAGAGGTCCTCAAACCAATCAAAGCCTATCATAAGTAAACAAAGCAAATCAGAGACATTAACCTTGGTTGTCTGTTCTCTGTTTTCTGAAAATCTGACTGGTTTAAAAAGTAAGTCTGACCTCTATATATATTCAACTTCATTTAAGATTATGGTATATGTGGACTGATGATTTACTTTTTGGTAATCACTTTGACAAGCATAGTTTATATGGTTTTTGGTTCATCACACAGGCCCTATCATGAACACTGAGCATAGGTTAATTTGAACACAGTGTATCTACCTTTCCACAGGTTTTTATGACAAAAAAGATCTCTTAAATGTTTTGTAATTAACTACTTTGGTACTAGCATGTTTTCCATACCGCTATATCTATAATGGGGGATTTTCCAAAACTTTTTTTTCTTAAGATAGTTTTAAAAGGGCAATGTGCACAAAAAAATCATCTGTCCAATTTACAAAAGCAATTGCTCTCACTGGCTTCATCTTTACAGTAAAGTGAATTATCTCACAGCATCTTATTTAATTTGCAGTATTAAAGCCAATAAGAGTATTATTATAGTTTTGTCAGCAGCAGCCTGCAGGTGAGACATGCAGGCCTGCAGTGTTTTTCAGAGGATGATGGTTGTATTTGGTTTGAAGTCTTGGTTACCTGGAAAACACCCTGTAAACTATAATGACTGGCAGACAACTGTTCTAGACCAAGTGGAAGCTGAATCATTTTTCTTTGAGTAATGAAGCCTTTTAATTATGAAGCCTTTTCTTACATTTTCCAAATTTTGATGATCACAATTTCTTCGGAAGGTTTAAATGTTTATGTCTTATATGAGCATATGTCACCGGAACTTTCATACCCAACTAGACAGTTAACATGTCAACAGAAAAGTGTGTGAGAGGTGAAAATAAAAGTCTGTTCTAATATTCAAAATACGTTTATCACAGGTTGGAACCTTGTTCTTCTGAATTTGTTGGCGACATGAGTGTTCATCAAGTTATGGTGTCTTTTAACAAGTTGACATAAAAAAAGCCTCTTTAGAAACTGATCCAATTCATTCAGCCCAAGTTTCAAGATATTTTTTACTTCCTCATGAATCACCCTTCAGAGTGAGTACTCATATTTGCGTCTGTTTGTTGTGACCATTAAGTCACCCCACTTTTTGCTAATCACTTACTGAGAATAGAGGGGGGGAAAGGATTTTAACCACAGGCGTTACAAGCAAACACGATTAACTATTCAGACAGAGGTGATTGATGACTGGCCTTCTTCTTCACTGACACCAGTAATGGCTCCTCTCCTGGCATTCTGCCGTATCACTCACCAACTCACAAATTCTCAAACTTGAAAAACATCCAGGATGTTTTTCTGCAACGAGTAAATATGTCATCACAAAAAGTCAGTTTGAAAAGTTAAAGACTAAACAAAACACTGTATTGTGCGTATCACAAGCTAATGAAAGCTTATTCATATAATTTTTAAAGCCCTCAT